CAAGCGGGAGCGAATCGCGCTCATGCCATCGATCCACGATTCCCTCACTACTTGTTTGATTGCCAGAAGATCCATGAGCATCTCGAGCCTGTTTTGGTTCCGTCCCATTTGGGGACATTGCACGACGGCGGCAGCCAGCGCGTTTGCCTGGTAGTAGTTCATGCTCTGTTCATGAACAACGACGGCAGTCATGAGACGAGCCTATTTAATGGTCCAAGCCCCGCTCGATCTTCGCGAGCTCTGTCTTCCCCGTGCTGGAATAACAGAATGATGTGCGTCTTCTCCAGCTCCCATCAGCACGACAAATACTGTAGGTAGGTAAACACAGCATACAAATTACCCGAATCCCCGCGGTCACAAGCGGCTTTCCTAATAAGTCAAACAGGTTGGTGGGGGCGGGGCTTTGTGTCCTTCTTCTGTTGGTCATACTTAGGGGTTAACAACGAGTCGAGCAACTTGGAATCGACGGAGACGAACCATATTCCAGGAGACTGACCTTTGCCTGAACTAAGTTGAATCTGTCGACTATACCCGACGCTACTGAAGACTATTTTCATCTCGACTACTGCATCCATGTACTGTAGAGATCCAATGTCGATATATCCGCTTCCCATGACGGAGATCGGACATCTCATGTGAGAAGATGACCCGATACTATTCCCTAGTAGTAGGTCAAGAAACGCCACGATCTCTGGCATCATATTATGGTGCTTCTAGGGAACTGTTGACAGTGCCTATCCCCCACCCCAGGATACAAGCACACAATGGATACCTCTATTTGCCTACGGTAAGGCCATCTCATTCTGTTCTGTTCTGTCCCCCTACAACGTCTTCGGGGTTTCGAGGCTTGCAGCCTCTGCGATGTTTTATTGGCCAACTACTTCCTGTCCACCTGTTTCCGATAAGCAGTGTGTGACTTGGGAGAACACCGACTACTGGGTCAAATCTCCATCGCCATCAGGCCTATTCCGAACTTACTAGTACGGTATACCCCCTCCATATAGGGTCTTGGTACTTGGATTCACACATCACGTGTCTCTCCATCTGACCTGCGGATAGTACTATGTCTATGTAAGTACTGTACTGGATCGTACTAGTCGTGTACAGTAGAAGTTGAAGTGTACGAATGATAGGTATTGTGAGTGTAGCTGTGGACACTATTTGACATGGATTAAGCCATTCGCCCAATGCTACTGTAGCAAGGACCATGCTTGTGCCGTGGTACCAAGATAACAGCCGCCATTTGTAGGAGAGGCACAGTAGGTGTGCCTGGCACGGGACGAAGCCTATTTGTGCCTTTCGCTTGACATGGAGGATCTTGCAGGCTGTCTAGTACCTAGTATGCCATCTTGCTGCCACGACCTAACAGGACACACCTCGATGCATGGCGGTGAAGGAAGCTGACCGTGCTTGAACTGCCCGTACCTACTTGTTTGCTGTTCTTTGCTCGACAACGTTACCAGTGTTATGTTGCGACAGTGGCCATGCAACCAATTGATACGCCGCCCGCCATTGTTCTCTGCTCTTGTACTTGGTGCAGCAGCTCACCAAGGCCCATTCCGGCACTGGATCTACAGTATGCTCTCTTGAATAAAAGTCCCCAGGAAAGGGCAAGCCCACCGGATCTACCCAGATCTACCGGAGTCTATCCGTCTGTCCAATCACCCGCATATTGCGAGCTAAACCCGCCCGCTGAAGAACATCCGCATGTGAACTTGTAAGTACATGTGTACACAGATTCGGAACACTTATGGGTTTTGTCATTGGCCTATGGTCAAGCGCTGGAGTGTCTTCAGAGTCACACCATCTGACCACCATCTACTATCTCTGCTCACCTGGACGTCGTCTCCTTCCGGCCTGCACCCGATCTACTGTACCGAGAATGGTTATCTACCGAATCATAAGATCCGTCAGGTCATCAGTACTTACTAGATGTCTCAAAAAAACGTCCGTTATAGTCCATTCATGTTCACTTATCCTCTCGGCTTTTGTTTCCTCTCAGCTCGTCACGCCAGCGGAATCTGCCGCCTTCAACAAATGTGTTGTCAAGCAAAAATATCGCCTTCAATTTTAGCAATCCGAACGTGGCTCCCGGGATCCAAGGACATAGAGTTGTGTAGTAAACTGACACGTGAGGCTGCTAAGCCACAACTTCTTTACGAGTGCGAGGCAGTAGTCTACCTACCTCCTAAGCTTGTGAACCCCCCTTCCATTCCTCAGAAATTAACAAAGCTCTATACCCCTTCACAGCATCGTCACAGCGAGGTGACATGTGGGAGCCTAAGAAGATCAGCATGTGTCGGTAAGCGTCGCACAGGACTAGGTATTACTACTACCCAGCCCACGGCGGGATGTGATTGCAATTTTGTGATAGACAAGCGGATAGGCCAATTCCCCAGCATCGCCCCTCAGCTTACGTACATGTCTAAAACCACTACGGCCTCTATATTTATAATTGATAGGCGTATACCGAAAACCAATCTTCTGCGAGCATTGCCTACGGGCGATAGTAATCAACGCCTCAAAAACGGATCGGTAGGTTGTCTGCAAGCCGGTATTCGTCGCATTATCCGCGGGGTGCTGCCACATATCCGCATACCACTTCAGACCCAACAGTCTGCCAACAGCAAACTGACTCTCGCAGAGTCCAGGCGATCTCTGACATCATGAGCTTCGTCAATTGACTCGGTTGATAGTTAATTCCAGACGCCGTACACGTTCATGCAATCTGTTTGCACAATCTAATATGTCCTTCTTGATGCTCAATGTCATCATAGTTTCCAGGTACAATCTCTGGCGTATCGCTTTTTGCACAGGTACATGGAGAAGATGTATCTCAACCTCTTGGAAAGCTTGCGGATCATTCCAAAGTTGTTTGCCCGAGCCACACTCTCGTAACACGCAGCCTAAGCACCTCCTACCAAAACCTGTACGCCCAGCTAAGGCAGCGATAAATGCCTACAATTCTTAGAGGACTGCGGCTTGGGTGCCTGACACACACAACCCATGAATCTAGGCGATCGCTTGGCGAGCTACCACCTATTGATGGCAATGTAGAAGAAACAGCTGCAGAGGCAGACGTCACGCTGTCAGGGCCCCGTATCCTTTTAGCACACCACCGTTGTTGTACAAGATCGCCTTGGTTCTTCAATATTCTACTCTTCACTCAGAGATACAAGCATACAGCATATTCTAAATGTTTGCCTGTGCACATCTATATCACCCTAGGTAGCAGTATTCATACGGGGGGGTGGCATTTGACAGCGCCGCCATAACCACCTCTATTCAGGGAGTATTTTATGACGTCCTTACGTACGACCTCGAGGAGTACTGTAGCACCTCAACAGTAGAGTCCTCCATTAGGGGTCAACAGACAATCACGTCCAAGGCCAACTTACATCAGTTCGCCACAAGTCGTAGGGTTGTACGAGGCCACAACGAGGACCATTGCCATAGTAAAGCAGCCGTTCAGGGCGAGAGCTGGCCATGGGTTTCTATGAATTACGCCTAGTGACGTTGATGGGAAATCCATATGTATGCCGTACAATGTGCTACCTTGGGAAGCATGTTGTATTCTAGATCGTTCTACGTAGTATAACCCCAGTGCTCAAATATATTTGGTAGGTAGCGTTGTAGACAAATTGTGTTCCGTCAAGAATATTCGCTCCCTAGCTCTGTAGGCAAAAGCGATTCGATGGATTATAATCATATAGACAAGACATACTGGTGGAATGCGCGACTACTGATGGAATTTAGCCATTCCAACACACCTATGCGTACCTTACATGAATATAACCACCTGGTCAATGGACATGAATGGCACAACAGTAAGTATTCAACCAACATACATATCATTTCTCAGTCATAAGTTAATTTTAATACCTGTCAGTGACTAGAGTTCTTCATACGGCTTCTGAGTCATATTTCATTGTTAACGTTAGTTTTGTAAAGATGCGATATGTCGAACTTCTAGTTATCTACTTTTGATTATTAACTCATTACAAGTCGCCGCAGTTGTGACTCACAAGTCCAACCAGGAAACGGTAAACTGCATGTATGGCCAAGCATCAGTTGTGATTCCTACACTTGATAATATAGAAAATGACCAATGCCTGTGTATCGTTGAAATTGCCTAGAGGCAGGTGAAGGAAAACATTATGAAAGCAGTAGTGACTTGTGAAAGAAAGAAGGACGGAGGTTTTATATTAGTTCTATCGTGCAATCTTATAGCTCTAAACGAATAGTTAGGTGACCCTGTGTCAAAATGTATAGAAAATTTGCCCTGAATCTAGAGCTAATGGTGGCGGGAGTAGTACATACTGCACCAGAGTATGAATCTCAGGTCAAGGCGACTTGCGAGTTGTCTGTACATGAAATATCAGACCTGCCACAGTCTACTACCTATATGTGGATGAAGCTATAACTTGCCTAGCTTGCAGTCATGAATGGCGTAGGCATCACGTAGTAGCCAGTTGATCAGGAAAGCAGTATAATAGTTGCATCAATGAGGTGGCGGTAGGCCTATAGTGATCGTTCTCGAACGCAATTCATTCTCCCTATGAATATGTATACTACACCCACTCGAGTACGGCTACTTCACTTGGCCCTGGTATGATTATATGGAGGCTCTGCAACAATTGTGTGCGTGTCAGACGGGGGCCAAAACCGTCAAGGAATATAAAGGAGGTGTCCTAATAATACGCCTCCTAATAACATAGGTTGGCCTAGACGGCATGCTAAAAAAGGTAACCTGCCGCCGGACTACGCACCCTGGCATCGTGAAGAGCCTCATCGGACAATTTACCCCGCTCGGTGGCTTTTCATGCCTTGAAATATCGTCCTTTCTGATTCGTTACGTGGCTACCGGGCCATATCAAGCTGAAGGTGTATCTTACACAGCATGGTTGAGATCTCGTAGAACCCCCACCATTTCATGGTCCTTCTCCTGCAACCGGGCGTATTGGAACAAGGATTGCTCGGTATAAGCTGCATTCACCAGTCTCTGCATCTTTGCTCCTATGCCTTAGCATACGGCTCCGGGTCCTCCCATACAGGGAGATCCAGGTCTATGACAATAGCTTTGTTCAGTTTCCGTGGGCCCCGGCCTGAGTGCGGGTAGCTGGAATGCTGGATCGCGCAATTCACAATACATGTCTCCTTGCGACCAAGCCGCCCATCCAGTGCCACTTGGTCACTCCGCTCTGAGTCCGGCTTCTCACCAAGACCGAGGGTACCGATACCCGGGTAGGCGAGATCATCAGGATCGCCTCTATGTTTATCGCGCCAGTCCTTATGGGATCCATCGGTTAACCGACAGAGGCTCCCGTCATTGTTCAGCGGCATGCCACCCTTTACAGTGAGGTTCACAAGCGCATTTTTCTCGCTGTCTGGGTTGGGATCCTGCCAGCGAGTTCGTCCCAGCTCCGCATATTGCGCATTTTTGTCCTCAAGGTCCCAAGTTACGCGCTCGACCCCTCGGGCTTCATGGATGTGCCCGCATAGCGCCAGGCGCGGTCGCACCCGCCACAGTTGCTGTCGCAAGATTTCGCACCCCGCGGCTTCACGCATACGGGACTCATCGCAGTGCGTATGTGCCGGACCATGAGTGATCAAGATATCTGTGTCAAGGGGTATCTGCTCCCAAAGGGACTTGGCAGCTATGTTATCCTCATCATGTCGTGGATATTGGAACGCCCACGCGCCGCCCCAAGCCGGACTGTAGGGTGATCCAAAAACAGAGAATGTAGTCTGTGGGCCCGATGGAGACGTTAACCTGATGGTCCGGCTCTCGTGGAGCAGGTAGGTGAGTGTTTCAGATTGGGTGAGCAAGGACTGACAGTCCTCGGGCACTTGGGTTATGTTTCCATGCCTGGAAGGCCCGTATTCTCTGTAGAATTCAGTGTCTAGTGTCAAGTCATGGTTGCCTGCCACTACGATTTTGCATTCGAAGTCAGCCTGCTCGAGCCACCGAACTTGCTTTGTGAGCTCGTTAAAGCTCCCTTGGTTCGTGAGATCACCACAGTGGATGAGGACATCTCCTTTGGGCAGTTTGACGGTGCAGTTATGGGTGTCAGAGATACAGACAAAGCGTGTTCTTCGTGTGCGCCGGGAAGGACATTGCCTTTGTGCGTTGGAATCCGTCATGATCTACCTACCAGAGGATACGGCTTAAGGGGTTTTAACTCGAACGATGCGCACTTAGGCACGTAAACAACGTGTAAGGCGCTTTTTTATCTTGAAGGTGGCGTAGATATACCTTTAACCAATGTCATGAAATTATAATCAATGGGTATAATCTAAAGTTGTAGCTAGAGAGAATCCAGTACTGCATTTTAGATAGTAGCCGTGAGCAAAGTTAGGTAGTGATTGAATTGGTGTTTGGTGATAGTTTAGGCGAACACTACCTGGGTGACTAGATGACGTAGCTCCATATCCTCACGTAGATATCTGTGAAATTCATATTGTCGCTGCATAACGTCATACTAGTATCTGAGATAGACCTTAGGCATGCTATAGTGCTTCATATATCCCTTTTCGCGTTTCTCTTTTCTCGAATATTAGGTACTCTCATAATCTGCGGATAGCAGGTGCGAGAGAGCCTTACGGAGATGTCATGTTTTTGTATATGAGCAGCCGGTCATACATGTATCTACTCTGAGACCCTTAAGCAAGTGGCTCGTTCTTTGATTGTCGCCCTCTTGCAGGCTAAGAGGCGATCGAGGTGTCGTGCCAATGCAATCTCGATGAGCCAAGTCCCGTGAGTCTCGTCGAGCTACCTATGTGGACGGGGAAGCTTACGTCGTACGCCTTATCACTACCTGCACACGCTTGAAGTCGCTCAGACCGCGACGTGGAACCAATGGAAGAACGAATCTCAAGCCCGTTTGTTATAGTGTACCTGTGTTATAACAACAATGCTATCAGCCTCGATAGCTGAGTGCACGGCTGAAGTAAGCACTGTAGGTGGTTCCAGTCCATGATACATGTCCCAGCGCGGAGGATAAGTGCATCGCATCCATCCTGCTCCATCTGCAACTACTCGTGAGTATCACACATGGCAATTCGATACTACCATGAAGTTACGATAACTGCTGGAGGATGTGTAAAAGCGCAAAGGGGCATCGATAGCTGATGTGTTAGCACCTACTCTGCACCTACCCCAGTCAGTCACTGACAAAAATCGTAACCAAATTTCACACTTGACGGCTAATCTAGGCCAGATCCGTGATTATAAGTCTGTAGGTAATTTCAGCCAGACCAGGGCCCTGCAACATCCCAACAATGTCATGCTATAGTGGCATGGGCATATAGTGCACTGTACATACCGGTACCTCTGTACTTAGGTAAGTATCTACGTAGGTATTTTATGGCTATTCAGGCCCTACCTATGTAATGTACCTACGTAGTTACCTAGGTATATATATAGTATGTAGGCAGGTTCCTGACTGAGGATTAAATATCGCCCAGTGGATATAACCTAGGTAAGGTAAGTACTATCTCAGAGTGAGAAACTTAGAGTGCCGAGAGTACCTAGGTAAGTAGTGTGTGGTGCAATAGGTACCTACTGTAGGTAGAGTCTGTTTGCGGGCTAACCCGCTGGAATCTTTAATACATGCCCATAGCTAGGTGGGTACACAATAGATAGCCCTTACTTTCTTGGTTCAATACATACTACCTATGTCTGTATGTTAGACACATTGGGTATAATTCAAGTTGATGCATCGTGATCGCGACCTGCCAGGCATAGAGAGAAAGCTACTACGTGGGAGAGTAGGTTAGGTACATATGTACTATATGTACTATATGTACTACTAGGTAGAGCTCGGACATGACCCGATGTCCCAGGTGGGCCAGGCTACTGAAGTAGGTACCTACCTAGGTACCTATACTGGAGGACGGTGTCTTTGATTGGACCGGCGGACCTGCTGCGGCATCTTGCAGCGTGTCTCGCTGCTAAACCCCCACCTGTACCCTCTCGCTGGTGCATCAGGTTAGGTACATGGTAGCGCACTGCACGCTGCCTTAGCTGTGAGTACCTACCTGCCGTACCGCCCTGTAGCCCGCTGGCCAATCGCCTGGGCTGGGGCCCTCTGCTTTCATCTCTAGATCCCTGGCTAAGCCCAAGAATTGCTTCTTTTCATTCGCCCGCCCTCCTTTCCAGGCGAATGACCGACCTCTCTCTCCAACGTCCATCTGGTGTCTTGCCTCTTTCTCTTGCAGTTCTCCTCAGCCCGTGTCCGCCTGGCTGGGTGCTCCCGTTCCTGTTTCTATTTCTGTTTCTTGTTCTTGTCTCACGGACTTTGATTCTGTACAGCATCAGCATACCGCGGGCGTCTCCTTATCGACCTGGCGAACCCAGCGAAAAGTGTGACCGAGCATTCCCACCGGCTGCTTTGGTTGAATCTAGATTTACATATAGGGGCATTTCGGAGCCACGCGACTCGCTCATGTATCATCCAGAAGAAGAGCCTTGTATCCCATATTGATATGATGACCAGTGCTGTGATGATTGCCACCGGTTCGCGGATCGCGTAGCATTAGTACTTGGAACCACGGTTGGCGCGCCAGTAGTCACTTACCTCACAATTCGGCCTCAATAAAACGAGTTCTAGCTCTGTTCTAGCTCGGGGTTCACCGGCTGATATCTTTTCTGTCCGCCCTCCAGCCCTGCGCGCATCTCTGTTCGTCTTGACGCTATCCGCTCAACCATCGATTCGAAAGCTGTTGCTCTGGCCGGGCGTTGCTCTACATCTTGTCTATGATATCACCACCAACTCGTTCTTCTCCTCCCGAAATCGAAACTCGCAATTCCTCTTATTACGCCCGAATCATCTCTGCCGAAACTTCATCCGCGACCCAGAACTATCGTGGCATTGATTCATTTATTGTGGCTTGCAAACCAAGCAGAACACGTTGTTATCCGTGGCATACGCTGATTGGGTATGGCGGCTATCTCAGCGTCCTCAGGACCAACGTCCTTCAATCACACGGGCGACCCTCAGGACGAATATGCAGATTGGAACCATGCTTCGCATAGCCAGCACGAGGTAAACTCCAGCCCCGTGACTACTTTCTGCTACTTTGAAGATATGAAGGACATCCATCCACCTTTAAATAGATTAAGTAGGCTCGGAAGAATCTTTGCTGACGATACACACCTTGATAGCCTTCGACAAACCACTCCTTTCCCGACTACGAAGCTTTTGGCTCACCCCAAAACGCATCAAACTCACAAAACGGGGCCACCGACAGCTTCTTTAATCTTAGAGGTACGACTAACTCTCTGCCACGCTATTTCGCTTTATGTCATTGCCGTATCGGGTCTTGTGGGTTTGGCGAACAACATGGAACTCGTCACTAATGCTCCCTAGACTCTCGCAGCAATAGCCGTGCTGTAGCCCAGCCAAAGACTAAACGTGCGAACGATGGCAGTATTTTAACCTACGACGATGAAAATTCAAAATGGATTCACCGAGATAAGTTAGCCAAAATTGAGAGTCGAGAGCTACAAGAAGCTGGGATAGTACTTCCAAAGCCCAGGACACAGAGCAGATCAAGACGAGATCGTAGCCATAGTCGTCGGAGGGGTACCACAGATTCATCTGAGCAGCAGTATGTACCAGTCTCTAGAATGAATTCCGATGCTGGTCACGACAAAACGCCAGACCACGAGGTTTCGAGCTGGGATTTGCGCAGGCCTGAAGAGATTGCGGAGGACCCTGGTGAATACTGGGTTTCGAACGATTCTGGTAGAGGCACACGCATTCCTGTAGCGAAAGTCAGCCCGGCACCGATTCCTTCTGACTATATTGATCGAAATGCCCCCGTGCAACGAAAAACGAGTTTTCCGCCATTTGATGACGAGGTGTCCATCGCGTATCCAAAGACTAGGTCACGGAGCAATAGTAGTGCGAATGCGCTGGATGACTCGCCCAAAGCACCATCTGGGAAGCGCTCTTTGACTGAGGGATCTCCGAGGAAGACTACTACGACGACTCCTCGCAAGACATCGGCGCCAACAAAGCCAACTACACAAGGCCGGCCTAAGACGAGATCTGGCCCTACCACTAGAAGTAGTTCTACTACAAGGCCAGCCACTCGTTCGGGCGAACTATCTCCACGAGCTCCTGAGGGTGATCCTCCATGGATGATTTCCGCATACCAACCAGATCCTCGTTTACCACCGGATCAACAGCTTCTACCCACGGTTGCAAAAAGGCTACAACAAGAGAAATGGGAACAAGAAGGTTCGTTTGGGAATATTTACGACAAGGAGTTCCGACCCTTGAACAAAGATACACTTATAAAACCGCCCGAGGCAGAAAAACACCCTGATAGTGAAGACCAAGATGAATGGCCATTAAAGCCGGAGGCCAGAGTTCCAACTCCCAATCGCCCTGGGACAAGTTCGTACTCAACCATGCCGAAGATTCAAGACACACCTGCTATGAACCCCCTAGGCAGCCCGAGATCGATGCAACAAGTACAGACCCAAACGACTGCAGCCGTCAAAGTAGTTGATCCGCCGGCACAAACGGAAGATGAAAACGGAAAGGATGGTTGCGGGTGCTGTGTTGTGATGTGAATCTCTGGCACAGCTATCTCAGCATTTTAACATCCACTTCAGATTCCATCTGATGTCTGCTGCCAACAGCTAGACCATCGCCGAATGACTTATGATAATACTGCCTTGTGCTACATGCCGCACTGCATATACTTAATAGCCTCTTGGTCACATTGAACCTCTCTCCCTTTTTTTCTTTTGTTTCGGAGTTATATCCCTTTGATCCTGCAAGCAGACGCATGCCGGCATACGAAACCCCGTCAACCATCGCCCATCGATTCCTCATCTGGATCAACTCTGAACTAGATAACCACAGTGGGATACTGCACGCTCCCCGGTCTTTTTGGCCTGCGACACCATCGGCGTTACGGGCTTGGACAGGGATCTGGAGTAGAGCGGCAAAATACATCATCATCATCATCATCATTGTTCATAAACGGCGTACGGACTGTCGCCCTCTTGTTACTGTATAATCATTTCTAGTGCATTTCAAATGGTCCATCGCCCTCTCCATTGGCTTGCTTTATATGCTGCCCTAAGCAAGCGCCTAATGTTTTGAAGGGAGGCCGCGTGGTGCTCTTCGCCTCCGCATGCTGATCGGCCAATATTGTTTTTTCACCCACGAGTTTTCCTTCTTGGGTTTTGTGGCAAGAGGAGGGAACGGTGTAGGTGTTTAGGAGCCGTATTTCTAGGTGTCGTTGCATCAACCAGGTGATTCTAGATACCCCACCTAGCGGAGAACACTTCGGTAGACAGTTGAGAACAATCTCAAGAATTCAACCATTGGTTTTCGTTGTGACAGTGGAATTGAAACAATACCAGTATATCAGTCTGCTTCGCGCCATACCTGAATAATCTTCCATTATCCTTCTGAGGGGTAGCAGTCCTTTTGGAAAGGAAGGATGAACAAAGTGTGCTGTATCGACATCCGTTATTGTGAACCCCCTCCACAAAACCTTCCTTAACCCAGATAACCATGAGAACGGCTGCAAGAGTTAAACTATTCCTCTACAATCTTCTTACGCGCAACACTCAAAGTGAATATAACCAGCAGGGCTGGTTTCACTTAGCCAGAGGTATCTGCTTTTACCGAAAGCTTCGGGATCCCCTAGCAGACCGTGGGCGAGAGCAAGCAGCACCGGGTCTTCTCCGCCTCACTATTTTCCTTCTTTTACTGTTCTCACTGTGCCTTGAAACTACCTCAACATTTTCGACTAAAGATTTTAACTAAAGACCTGAGCCGAACGCCGCACCGCGTTCACCGTCTATAATAATGGCAACTTATATACTGCTGCCCTATCACTTGGAGCAATGCAAGTTGCGACACAAGGCGCTATGGTGTGATTTCAGAATTCCACAAGCTGTAAGCAGGCAAATCTGTATTTCTGTGTCGCTGTCTAACTGATACTTTAGCTTTTCGTCACACCACAGGCAGCACAGCTACCAGCAGCGCTGACTCTCTCAAATGAGCTGTTGCTGGAAATATTCTCGTATACGGATCATCTTGGCCGGCTATGCCTGGCATTTACATGCAAACGGCTCCTAGCTGTCTCCTCTAAGATGGTCATTGCGATTCCGTCGGGACCTTTGCATCGTTCTACTGCCACTACGTGCGACGCAATGCTTGGATTGCTCCATAAAGGCTTATGACAGTGCTGTTGAAGTGTGGTGTGATTGGGGCTCTTCCTCACACCAATGTCCAGATTGCTACTGTTTGGAGAAGTATGGTCGGATGGCGGCTTCACTATAACACTAAGATATTGTAACGCGGGAACGCCTCTATCGAATTGTATAGGCACATGTGTTGCTTGCTTCCCACAGATGCCAAGCGACTATCAATTGGGCAGCCTAGACTTTGGAAACGGAGAACACAAGTAAAGCCACAGTACAAAAATAGGTGATCGACTCGATTGTCAAATGAGATGATGAAGGATTAGTCAACACACATCGTATTTGGACGAAGAAGACCAATTATGGTAAATATGGCTGTTAAGCTTGGTTGGTTTAGCTCAGGATTAACTGTCACATATTGCTTCCTAGCCAAATTGGTAGAAGCCGAACCATAGCAAGCCAACCATGGAAAAAAGAGAGTACTAGTGCAGAGTGAGTGACCTGGTATTGATGAACAGTGGTCAACAAGTGACTAGTGTCCGTAGTAATGACATGGGCTGTTCTAATACCCCAGGCAGACGTAGCAGACCCCGGTTTCTGCCATAGGTGGTGGCTTTGTTGTGTTCGAAGCTGCGTCTTTTACACTTGTTCCTATGATGACGTGAATGAAGGCATGTAGTTCAACATTAGTCCAATCGTCACATTCCAAGACGGCAAATAATTACGCAAGGCTGCCTACACTACAGTTGTTCCCGGCACTAGAACGTGTCCCGCTAGACCTTCATCATGCCTGGGTCGACAAACATTGAGCATGTGCTAACTTCTTGACAAAGAGTAGAGGTGCACGGAGCATTCTAGGTATCTTTCTGGGGACTACAAGAATCTCGTTAGATTACAAAGTCTTCCCTTCTTCAACGATACATTTCTACGTAAGAACAGCAATGTAGCTGTTTTCAGGCAAAGAAGTACGTCATTAATCATCGAGTTGTCGATAGGTACTCAGAACGTGGAGGGGAGCTGTGAGGTGTTATGACTTCCAACTCTAAAGATCCGTACATAAAATGCATACCTGGGGAGCTGGAACTGTCATTCGATCGTTGTGTTTGCTCTTCGTGTCCAAAGGCCAAGTATTCAGCCCAAAGCGCTTCCACATGGGATGGACTTATGTCTAAGCGTAGTCAGCTCAGTGTGAACAGTAAGAAGCACATACGACAGCGAGACGTGAACTTCTTCTATATACGAGAAGATCACTACTGTGCTAGTGGCCTTGAATGTTAGCCTGGAACACCAAATTCAATGGACTACCACTCCTTCCTGGGATTACAGGTTGTTAAATATTGCGATCTAAAGACTATCGTAGTAGCGTTGAGTCTCCAAAGGGGCCTCTCTACCTAACCCGCAAAGTTGACGAGATCAAAGATCTCCTGAAGTATTACTCGGGCAGCAACTGGATCCACGTGAGCCTTCAGGGGTGTTCATTAAACTTGGAGCGACTGGGCAAAATGTAAGCCGCAATAGCAGAGGTGGTGATGATGGTATTACAGTTTAGCTGCCTATGGCTCGAACACTCGAGGCTATGCACGCTGCTAGGTGAACAGTTTGGTATATTTAACAGATGCCGTGTAGACGTTACTGTACAATCTACCCTGATGAGAGTAAAGTAGCGGCTGACTGTGGATGGATTGTGAATGCATTACATTCAGACTGCTTTTAAGAACGATCCACGTAGACCGTTTCCTCACAGCGATGAAAGAGCAGACATAAGGGAACGTGGTTCGGCCCCCAATTGCGACTGTACTGGCATCTGCAATCACTCTACACACGCAGCACACTCTATCGCTATTACTCTTGACCTTTAACACCGGTGTCATAGCTGAGCTATGAATAATTCAAAACACAACTGATTATCTTCATATGGGTATGTTGGTAAATGACTATGTGTGTCCTTTTTATTAACTCGAGAGACCGTTGGCTCTCACTCTTTTTATGGTATTATTCAACGATCTCTGATAGTCGTTATTGTCATTCTTGGTGCTAAGATGGCTCTGTGTAGCTGGCCAAGTACCCCTGTAATTTCCATAATTTGAGTTGAAGGTCTTTTGTGCGGCGACCGGCTAACATAAATAAGAAACCGTCTCTGAGAATTGCAGATTTATCTCTGACTCCCGCAGCGCCTGTGATTCCCAGAAGCATGGGCATATTATGTACTGCCACACTAGTAGTTGAATTTTCGTTGGCAATGTCGTAAGTAGCGAACGGCCCAGGCTGTGCCTCGGATATTGTAGGTTCGTCGTGCCCAGAAGAACCTTGAAACCATAACAATGCGCCCTGATGCTTATATTTTACATCATCCCAGCCATAACATTTCACAATGTAGTGCCGACTATCTTCACTGCAAAGTCTCGAGAGGTACAGGAGGTCCTCTACTATACCTTGCCGCATACGCTCGAGAATGACAGAATCCATATCCTCGCGCCATACAGCCTGGTGACCAAACTTTGCGTAACGAGAACTCGAACCACCAAACAGTCGTCTATAATGTCTTTCGAGCCCTGATTGCTTGACTGTAAATGAGGAAATGATATCTCGCCTGGCAAGCGCATATGCTGAAGGCCCGTACGGTTTTACGCTGGTAGTTTGTATGGAGTCTGGCAATTTTGATTGGGGAATGCCCTCCGAAATGGTTGGTTGTTCCCGTTCTAATTTGGCGTTTGCTGGCTCGTCGCTGGCTACACCTGCTTGCTGTGTTTCAACAGGCTTATCCCAAGATAGACTGCGCGGCACCCACCACGGTTGGCCAGTTTCAGGGTGGGAGATGAGGTTGAAGTCTTGCAGAAAGAAGGAGGGGAGGCGTGTACGAGAAGCGGTACATTGACGGATTGGAGTGGCAAGAGCCTCGGCTATTGAACCCTGTTAGTGATTAGGAAGTGAGGGTAGGGTGGGCTAGGCAATGGAAGAAGGGCTACACTCACCAAAAGGATTCTTCCGGAACTGGCGCTCGACTGAATTCGTGGCTTTACCTGCCTTCGCCTTGGGGGCTTGATGACGTGTGACGGCGTCCCAATATGACGGATCCATGATAGGCGACAAGGGAAGATGGCCTACAGCTGTGCCTATCGTCTTATTGTCTCGGTCGATCTCGAATTCTGGAGAGTTCAGAGTGGTTTCAGATACAATGGGAGAAGCATTGTTTCGGCGGCGCTCAGTTGAAGAGCAGCGCTTAGTCTGGTCCCAATGACTGGGCCGGCATTTCTGCTGGATAACCCTGGCACTACTGCCTAGCAGTGCTGTGCATGCTTTCATAACCACATTGACAACGGTAAAGCTGTGTTTTAGAAGTCAGCGGAACGTTACTTGAAAACAAGTCTTCGCTGTCGAAGCCGATACTCAGTATCACCAGTCTACTGAATACCTAATACAGATTAGGTAAGCGCTCAAAACCCAATGAGGTAATACTGCAGGTACATAGTATCCCTTTAACTGCCACGAACGCTCCAATACTTTACCTACCCAGTTTTAATCACGTGCTATGTCTCTTGTTACCCCTACTAGTAGATCAACATTGCGAATACCTAGGTTTCCCCTGAAATGACGTCAAATACTATGTAGCGCCTTGTACCTAAAGCTATGTCTAAGTAAGATACAAGTGCAAGAAATTCTAATGGTTTTAATTGGATATTTAAAGTCTTGGCAGGTATTGGAGCGTTCGTGGCAGTTAAAGGGATAGGTAGTAGGCGCAACCTCCACTTACCTAGCAGTACCTACAGGGTAGGCCTACAGGGCCTACAGGTAGCTGCACCTTATCTGGACATCAGCACGCTTCGTCAACGGTCAGCCAGACAGACCACGAACACTTCTATATCTGATTCATTCCCCGACCGTCAGTTCGTAGGCGCCTCCTTGCTTCCTCGGCTCGCTCGTAGGCAACAAAAGACGCACTATCGTCTTGTCATGAACTGCCAACGTTCGGTCTGGCAGCGGTTGGCACGAAACCTACCAGCCAGCCATGTTGGACCTTTCTCGCATATCTCCCAAAGGCATTTTCAGTCCCAGGCCCCCCAAGGCGCAATTCCTTTACCGTACATAACTGAAGTCACTGTAAGATATCCAATGGTATCTGCTCCGTCAGTAGTAGACTGACCGTGTAGTCTGGCGGCTGGCGAACATGTTGGTAGTCAATTCGAGTATTTACGCTGAGCGGGAAACTAATTGTCGATGCCCAGACGATATCTTCTCCAAGCTGTTACAGGTATGCCAGGCTCCTGGCCCCATCAGTAACTGAGCTAAAATCAGGTAACCAACAGGAACGGATAATATGCCTCAATGGAGCAATCGACGACACTGTCTCTGCCTCCATAGTCGCGCAGTTACTATGGCTTGAATCCGACAACCCAGAAAAGCCGATTACCATGTATATCCATTCGCCCGGAGGGTCTGTCACAGCGGGACTCGCCATATACGACACCATGGCCTACATCCGATCGCCAGTGTCGACAGTGTGTCTAGGCCAGGCGGCATCCATGGGGTCATTGCTACTCACTGGTGGAGAGAAAGGCAAACGATTCGCGTTACCACATAGTAGTATTATGATACATCAGCCGCTTGGTGGCACTCAAGGCCCAGCCAGCGATATCCTCATCTATGCAAGCCAGATTCAACGCACGCGAGAGCAAGTCAACGAGATATACAGGAAACACCTCAATGCTGCAATCGGGCATGACAAGTACACCCTCAAAGAAATTGAGGACATGATGGAGCGCGACAAATACCTCACTGCACAAGAAGCTAAAGAGATCGGCATTATAGATGAGATTCTTACGCGGAGGGATGAGCAAAAGCCGCAGAACGATGGCGGCGCAGATGAGAAACGAAATCAAGGTTCATAGGACTGTGACAAAATAGGACCATAGAACCAAAGATGAGTCTGGGTGTGAGGAAGACGATGCTCAGACTCTCTATCACGTGGGTCTAGCGACTATTGCGACAGGTCTTTGTAGTTGTCTTATGCGATATTATAGTCGCTACCATCATTTTGTCGAAACGTAGAGGAAGAACGTCTGTGGTGCCGATTCCACATCAGGACACAGTATTTTTACGCAAAGCGAAGTAGTGACTGAAATCCTTGTGGATTACCAGTAGTGAGCTATAGATCTCAACAAACAAAGAGTAGTTGAATAGAGGCGCATCGACATTGAATGCTTATGAATAATTCATTACTATCTATCGCAGAATACCTACGAAGTATAGGTGGTAGTGGTTGAATCAAAGAGTCTGGGTCTCGATTGTCCGATGATCGATCGGATACGCTGCATCGGATGTCCCTCGTGGCAGCAGGGAATCCCATCCATCCCATGACCTTGTCATCCTAGTATCCATCCTCATTCATTCGACATGTCTGCCGAGCAAATCAGAAATCTTGCGTGCCTCTAATGGCTCGCGACATCCCGAGATGATTAGCTACCTTCAACGGCAGCACGGCGCTGGCCATTGAATCCAGGTATCCCGCGACATGATTGGCTCCCGTCCTTCCCAATGCAGTAACTAGGGACTTTTGTCTAGATCAACCCAGATCTGTCAGGGGACGGAACTCTGGGATTCGCTGGTGACGGTCTCTGCCCTTGCGGTAGTTGTCCCGCAAGGCCGCCATCCGGCCCTGGGGGAGCAGCCAAAACCGATACAAGAAGGATCACGGCTTGACGGCTTCAAGCAAGGCCGTTGCGCGCTAGGTTGAGGGCCCCCTCCTGACCCTGCATTTCCTCGATTATTCTGCATAGAAGCTTTCTAAACCTTGTCTTCTTTGTCCCGTCCGTAGCAGCCATTTCCGGGGCTGTCTAGACACTTTCTTTATTTCAACGACGTCTAGGCCCGGAGACCGATCAAGCATTCGCGCCTCTTTTGTCCTGAAGGACCTGCCGTGGTTGGTCAGAGTTGGGGGCAACGGGGAGTACCTTGTACCGAGAACCAAGATTTGATGAAGAGCAAAAAGGTGGGTGTGACTGAATGTCTACCTACCTGGGGCGACTGGGCAGTTCCTCATAAGTAGCAAATCCGACGGAACCGTACCAAATACTTGACGCGTATTCCACAGGCATCTGCTTCATTGATTGGCGATCCTGATGCGATCTTGATGCGATCTTCACAGGTTCACGTACGCTCCCTATAGTACCTATCATCCAGTAGGTAGGTAGGTATAGTAGGCCCTCACTCGTCAACCTGTGGCCCCAGGCATGCATGTTGGGAGCACGGGAGCACGGGGGCGGACAGTGACACTGGCCAAGTAAGAACCCATGGTAAATTGGTTATTGCTCTACCCCACCGCGAGATTTGATCCCTTGCTTCGCTATCGCTCGTACGACCGACCCCTTGGTTCTGGGTTCCTCATCGGGGACTCACAGGCCCCCTGTCCCTCTTGTGTGCACTCTCCAAGGCTCTTCTTTGTTGCTCAGTTACGTTGCCAATGTACAGCTCATAGACCGACTCGGCAAGGAGGCGACATTGGCACACCACACGTGTGCTCTGGACGGAGTACATCTGTTGCACTGCATAATATTATATCTCAGTCTCCAACGATCCATTGCAACACAATCCCATCTACTCTGCTCCAGATCCTCACATCAGGTTCGTTTGCTTGCATTCGCCGAGCACAATAAGTAGTCAGCGCCCACCTAGTTTGACAGTGTGCTTGAGGGGCATCGCGCCCACTCGCCAACGTCACGATGAACGAGTACGTCTTCGCTGCCAACAACTATGTGCTGATGAGCACGCCCAGCCCGCCTCTGGTGGTTGCGCATCGACCTCAGCGCAGCCCTATTCTGCCTTCTCCGGTTCTCACGCCACCTTCGACTCTCTCCCCTCAGTCTACTCAATCGCCATCCGCGCAAACACCCCCCAGTGAACCTGCCGCCGTCCGTAACCATGATGTCGAACCAGTCAGGCCTACTCCGACTCAAATGCAGTCGGTCTTCTCTTCCCAGACAGGCGAAGCGTACCGCTCGCAGCAACATACAGCCCAAGTATGGGAATCACACAAGGCAGAGATTCGCAGATTATATCTAGATGAGAATCGACCACTGAAGGAGGTCATGGCCATCATGCGCCAAAGGGGATTCAGGGCTACGTGAGTCACCTGTTTGACGATGCAACGACTACGAGCTCCTCCTAACAAGATTATTCAGTGTAAGGATGTACAAATCGCGATTCGACAAGTGGGGCTTCAGCAAGAACAACAGCAAGCGCGAAGTTGTAACGATGCTCCAAGTCCAACGCCAACGAAATGCCCTCGGCAAGCGGACAACCTTCCAGCGAAATGGTCGCGAGATCGCCATTGATGCTTACCTCAAGCGTAAAGGGATCTCGCAGTACGATCTGGCAGAACCGGGAATAGCCGACAGCCTACCAGAGCATCTTCGGTGTGTTACGCCGCCGCCCGAGACACCCTTGGTCATCCAAGCAGGCGGCGCGCTTTCGCTGCAAGAGCTAGTGCTTCAAACTGCCAGAGACCTAGCTTGGAACCCGTACTGCCCTTCCGATTTCCCCCTTGTGACGTCTTCTGCAGTCTATCGTGGTGACGCGCTTCGGTGCGCCATTACAGATATAACAAATGCAGATTGGCTTTTCCACGTCGGGCACTACGATAAGGGCGGCGTAATGTGCGAGCAGGGCTTCAAGTGGTTGCATTTGATGGTCACTAAACCATCCATCTACGGATTACTCCACTTGCTGTTGTTCCATCTCGATGCTTACAATAAGGGCATAATTAAGGAAGTGTGGAGATACCTCGCCGCGTATTCCGCAACCATCAAGGCCGATGGCCCACTTGCACGGCTTTTTCAGGGGATATCTAAATTCATCAATACTCATGATTTCGATGAATACTGGAATCTTATATTTGAATGTACAGAAAGGCTCCTGCTTATCGACGAGCAGAGTTCAGGTCTTCCGGAAGGCACGATAGCACGGCTTTACCCAGTGATATTTATTCCGCGAGCATATCAATACAAAGATGGGCCTTATCGCCGCCTTCAGAATCGATGCGACTGGAATCGATTGACACAGGGTACGAAACCACGAGTCGCTGAAGAGATGGCCATCTATGAAGCTAGCGAACTTCTGATACTGGGCACGCAAAGGAACTGGCAAGGTGAAAGGGTTCTCGAGCTTGCAGATTCTCTACTGGAAAAGACCAAGAAATTTGCATACAATGTCGACTTTTTCATCTTCATTGCCATGAACGCGCTTGCGCATCATTACCGCGCAGACTTCAAACCAGGGGATCCGATGGATAGCCCCAAACACCTTCTCTCCGTACATTACATGGAGAAAGTATGCAAGTTGTCGGAAGGCAGATGGGACGCCGACCTAGGATACTTCATGGGTGATTTCGAAAAACTGGAAACCTGGTACCGTGAGGCAGGTGACACGCTGAAAGCTGACGAGACACACACGAGATGGAGGAATTCGCTTGAACTCATTCCAAAACAGTGGGAAAGAGTGCATGAAATCCCGCCGCATTGAACTACCGAGCGTTGGTTATATTTTACACTTTTAGGTTCTCAGAGCAAGTCACTGGCGTCAAAATACCTCTACAAACCGTTTACTTTTCCACCAAATTCCGATTATTCGATGAGAAATATACAACTGCTCGCGTCACTGGTTTGATAGTGTCGCTTGCTTCATGAAACATCATCCTGATGCAGGATACAGACTTGAGCTCGACCCCAGCTCTCACCAATGATTTCATGAAGCTGTACAGTTAGTTGTGGCTCAAAAGTTGTATTTCTCAGAATCAACTGTCGCTGGCAAGCAGACATGGGGAAGACGGAGGTCCGTACATTCTACCTGTAGGAATGCCAGAGAAGCGACGCCACAGGAAACTAGATAGTTGAGAACCGCATTACGACGGCATGAGCCTTTCAAGCTCAGCTCTCATTGACTACATTTCTCTATCTTGGGTATGATCATCCAGGCTTCACCTGGGCTGCCTACCTGTAAGACGAACCGCAGGTTAATCATGCAGGACGCACTCAAGTGTGGATCAGAGTGCAAATACCAACTACATCGAGCCGTCATTTCTCCCATTACATCATCAGTGCGGTGGTAAATTGAGAATAGTGGAGCGAGAGAAGCCTCAATACCACCGCGGGTGCTTCATCCTTTGAAACGAGGGTTGGTAATACAGAATTCGCTTGATAAACTAGGGGTAGGGATCGGAGGGTGATACCATTATCTTCAAATACACTGTGTCCACCAAGTCTACTTATTATCAGGTACCAGCTCTCGCGGCTGGATAACGTGGGCAGTTAGACAACAATTAATAAGTTATATGGCGTGCGAGAAATCCGTGGCCCTCATTCTAGCCCCCACACAAACACACAAAGAGCATTCTCCTCTCCACGGCCCAGTCGGGTAGCACCCAGCCTACCAAATTCGCACGTTGGGGTTTATACGCAAAGACTAGGATCAGGCCGGGGAATGCAGTAAGAACGCAGTCTGCCGAGCTTGACACGTCGATATGCACCACACTGACACAAACTTTTGCTTCTTCTCGTTCGACTGGTGGCCGATGGTGTTACTGCCCCTCAAATTGGTTGTTTGCTAGCCTACCAAGTTTGTTCGTGTCATCAAACACCCTGTATGCATAATGCCAGCTGCGTGGAATAGGGGCGGGAGGACTAAGCAAGTTCGCATGAACTAAGCCAGCGAGTGCAACGTATAACGTGGTAATCATATAAGTTAGCGAAGCAAGCGACCCAAGTTGAATTGCCTCAAGACTGTCTCAACACCCCACGCCTAACACATGCCACTATAACCGAGAATCAAATGTGGGATAGAGGTACCTAAGTATGCTGCGTACAACGCCACCCTCCTAATTATAGATAGATTTCCAAGCAGTCGGTCGTCAGGCAGCGGACGGACGATGCCTGCTTACATAGTAGGTGGTGAAAGTCTGGTCCCCCAATGTTGGAGAAGGTAGTAATGGAACCAATCAACCAAGCGTTCGAGAAGCGCCTTGTGGCGTCATCTGCCCTCTCAGCAAATGAGAAGGATGGGGGCGTACGAGTGCCGAACCGACAACAATATCGGTCCCGAGAGACCGGTTCAGCCGTTTCGTTCCCATTAAGCCGTGATAAGCTGGGGGCTGGTCCTCAAGCTTTACCGGTAGTGTACTGTTTCCAGCACGTCATGATAGCTGCCGTTTGCCCTGCTGTGGCCAGCCCTTGGTAGAAGGTAGGAACAGCCAAGCCACCTTTTATGCTTGTCATATCTTAGCCACTGCTAATAATAATTGTAGGCGGCAATCTCGAACACGGCATTTGGAACAAGGGAGCAGTCTGCCTTTCAGGCAGGTAAGTTGTCTACTGTGTCAGCCGATAGGTAGAAGGGCAATGTGGCAATTCTAGTGTACATCGTGATATTTTCTTTTTTGCGAATCAAGGCGATAGACACATGCAGTGTAGCCTTCTCGATTTAGAATGGTACAAATGTACAACATATGAGTAAGTCGGTACGACATGCCCTCAAACGCCGGGGGTTGAGTCCACAGCTGTATGAGTAATTATGCATCGGTGTAGTAGTGTACGGCGATATCTCCAGCTCTCCCAACGCCACCTTCAGCACACTTATCCGCACCACATGGCGCAACGGATCTACTGTACATGGGATACCAAGAAAGGCAAGTCTTAATACGGGCAATCCCGCGCGTCGCCGATTCATCAGGAGACGAAGGCCCGAGAGAGCAAGCCAACCTGCAGCCAGGTCGGCGCGAATGAAATTACTTGCAGCTTACGCCGTTGATGACGCATTGACTAGGGTGAATCCCCGACAAGGGCATGAAATAGTAGACAGCCAGGAGGCGGGGTTTGAGTGAAGTTGCGCGTTATTTATGCCGTTGCTACGTTGCTGCGAATTAACCACAAGTCGCACTTGTCAAGGGGAAGCTCGTGAATAGCACGTGCTTGACAAGCATCGAAGCAGCCCCTGGAACCACGAGGATTTGGCATGTAGCAGCGTATAATGTCATCCCGGGATGAAAAACATGGCTTCTCATTACTACAATATGCATTGATTACAGTACATGTCAATGTGCATGTGAAATATATTACCCCACGAGCGAGGCAAGGTAGTTTGATATATTTGAGGGTTCAAATTAGACAACCCGTTCAGGCATATGTAACAGGTCCAGCAGCATTATAGCCTTTCGGCAGTATGAAGTTGTTAGAGTGATTTGGGAATATATAATTTGTGAAATCAATTTATAATGAAGCCCTCCCATATGCTTGATCAGTTCTAGAAAAGATAATCGTGTCATCCATCAACTTTTTTATTCGCATTTATATACGTTTCCATCTCCTACGTGAGAATTAGACATTTCGAAGACTCATACATCGCATCCACGAGGCAATAGATAAGACGATCAAGAGATATCAAACATAAAACCCTATCTTCGTATACTTATAAAAAGATAGCTGATTATGAATTCGGTTTCTGGTGTAGAACTCTTCAAGAACAGAGTAGGCAACAATACCTACTCCCTAGTGATGAATACGCCCTGAGAGTGCAATACTCAGAGTCATGTTTTGCGTACTAAATGATTTCCAGTAGCATAATTGAGCGTATACAGTGAGAGAGAAAATAAAACTTGAATGAAATGAAGTGCCGTGTTACAACTGAGCGCTAGTAAGCTGAACGGGTTGTAACATATACAATCCCTCGTAAGCTATAACTGGTTCATAAAATTCGCTCGACGATAGAGGGACGCTAGTTCGCAGGGAATGAAACAACTGTCGCATATTGAGTACTTTTTACTACAGTCCAACTGGGGCTTTGGGATAATTCTCACGGCTTAAGAGGCGTCAACAACATGATGCGGTCGAGAACTCACTTTTGACTCCATGTAAGGACCTATGGCACAAATAGAACTGTGGTGTGCTCGCTCTTGTTATAGAAAGTTTGATTTTGTGGCAAGCTCGTTGAATGTATCTAACTATGTAAAAGTTTCGAGCTTCTAGGGAATTCTGAACAACAGATACTGCAAACCTACCTGCGAACCCTACTCCTAGTCGCCCAGCGTAGAAGGCTCCTTTGATTTCTGATTGTGGTTTGTGGAGATAACGGGATTATACTGAGCATAACAACAAGGAGATGGATAACTTATGTTGGGCGTGTAGATTTGCGTACGCAAGTTTGTGTAAAGAATAACTAGACTTGAGAATGTAAAGGTCCGCCTAGTCTTACAACTCTCGATACTCTAGATTAAGAGTATGATGTAATAGCTATCTTACAATTCACTAGAGTAAGTGGGATAAATGTAACTCTCTTGTCGGACTTGAGCTGTTCACTTTTCAGTTGCAGAACGAAAAAGAGCAATAAGCTTACAAGAAGCTATCTTATGTATATATACAGGACTTTAGTGTTTTACTTCAAATCCACGATTCCTCCTAACTAATGAAAATGTCTCTTCTTCAAATATCCACGACTTTGATGTCGACTGGCTTTGATGGTCATCGGTCAGTAGCTTCGCATTCAGCAAACTTAACGAGGAGCCATGTCTTTGCGGCTCAAGACTATACGTACCCCTTTTGATGGAACAGTTGGCCTCATGAAAGGCTTTGTCAAGAAATTCACCATATTGAGTACAAAGTCTACGGGCTAAGAATGAGGCGGAGAAAATGCAAGCTATAATCACAACCTTGTATGACAATCTACCGGCCCCGACGCTTACGATCTTGAAATTGTTCACATGTTGCCTTCCTACATAGCATCCCTCGTCGCTTAGGTTCTTGGGGGGTTATCATGGTGATGGTGCCGAGAGAAACTGTGTACTTTGTGGATGCTTCTCTGCGTTGTAGATTAGTATAGTTATGATAGGGTATGGACGCTTGGAGTCCGAACATGAGGCAGTCTTCATCCAATGTATCAGTTCGCTCGCAGCGTTTCATCAATATGACAAAGTCATTCACTATTCTTTTATAGATGGCTTTCTCTTGAGGCGTTAAGTGTTCATTCACTACCACAACATTCTATCAGTAGCGAGATGCACATGGCAGCATGATCAAGATATGAAGAAGTTCGGGATGTATCTAGCTCCCTTGAGTTCAACGAGGATATTCTTACCGTTCATTTCCAGCGCTCTAGTTAATGTCTTTCAATGCCAAGTTGCGACTACGATATCAGTAATGAGGTTCCAATTCTTGTGTCGTGCAGCTCAAGTTCTTTAGCGACATGCTGATACTAGGACTAAGATGAATTGGTCTATTAGGAACACTTGCCAGTAATATTGCGGAAGCTAGATATATAAGACATGTCGCAATCTTCCAGCGATAGAACTCTTCTCAATATCACATGGTCTTGGCATGACATATGAGGAGCGCAATTCCCGATATCTCACAGTTCAATCTGGACCTCGTTCCCGGGCGGGCTCTACCTCATGATACACTTAGCTACCCGTATTCTCAAAGCCGGTCCACCCATTGCGCACCATGTTGCAAACAGCTGACTCATTCTCCTCATGGAAAGGTAGACACACAGAAACTGGCAGCGATCTAGACCGAGGAAGAGATTGGTATGGCACTACCTGTTGCCACGACACTAGGATTAGCGCGCCTCTGTTAAGCTACCGAATTCACGCGGGTGGAACCTTGCTGTGCCCGCGAAGAGTTGGTTGGCTAGGAACTTGAATGCATTGGCAACGTACCTAGGCCAAGGCAGAAACCATGCCCGAAGACTAAGGTGGCGATTGGTGGCATGTTCATTGATTGCACATATATGTCTTACGTCTTCAAGGACCCTTCGCACCATGACTTTTGACGAGGACGTGGTTTGGTATCGTAGTAGCATGAAAACCTGGTCCTCCAGTCTGGTCACACAGTCTTCTCCCACATTTCCTGCGTGTGCTTGATCAAGCTAATGTGCTTATATAATATAACTGTGCCAGGGCTGCCTTATACCTACAGTAGGCAGCAATCACCAGCCTTGTAGGCGAAACATAGGACAACAACAAAAAAAAAGAGAAGAAAAAAAAAAAAAACAGAGTCCCCACAGAAGACGGGAGACTGTTGACAATATGTAGAGTCATGTAGCGCTCTTGGATCAAGTCAAGCATGCAACAATTATCACTAGAGCAACGCCTGCCCACTTATGAAAATGTCTAGTACCGTACCTACTCTGACCGTACGTAGATATTTACATCAACACCAGGTTACACGCAGCAAAAATCTCCCTGCACTGAATACATATCATGTACCGATATAAACGTTGGGATGGAAACAGGAACAAGCGGCACTTCTTTAATACAGGTAGGTACCCTATGTATTATGTCTTGTATTGGTGGTAGGTAGGTTCTCAAAGTACCACCGTGTACCTACCTTATGTACCTACATATGTAGATCACGCCTACCTATCTCTCTTTATGTACTTCCTACCACCACCAGCCTACATACCTACATATATGTACTATGTACTACGCACTAAAGCTTACCTAGGTACCCAGTACTATTATTTCAAGACCAGAAAACCAGGGCCTCCTCAGTTGAGGCGGCAACAGGGCCGCCGTTGTAACTCACAGCAAGGATGGATAGATGGATGCCTTGAGGTTGGGCTTCCTGGTGAGACCAGATCTACCTAGTTTAAATAGACAGACATACAGGCAGACACCAGGCAGAAGACCTTGTACATGTAAGTACATAGAAAGTAGGTATCTTGGGAAGTCTGTGAGGTGCACTGTAGGTAGGTAGGTACCTAGGTAGGCTCGGTAGGGGTAGGTGAGGCGAGGCAACGCAAACTCTGGCGGGGCAGGGCGGCGGCTTAGAGGGCAGAGAGGGCAGAGAGGGGCCCTGGTCTTGTTCTGCTTTCGGCCAGCCAGTGGGGCAGCGAAGGCAATCGATAGCGGTCGATGGCGGTCGATGGCGGCTGCGGAGCTTCTGGCACGTTCTGGGGGCTCCCCGCTGTCCAATCACAGCCCCCGCGAGCTGCACCTCGTCGCTGCCAGTCCGTGGAATTCGATAGAATCCAAACCCCCCAAAATTGGTCTGTGCTCCACCTCAACTGCTGGAACCGCCTCTTCGACTTCTTCTTGATATTTCAATGCCCTCGCTCTTCATCTTCTTCAACCATCTTCCTTTCCAATCCTCCGTCAACCAAACTCAATCCTCACCTGTGTGGCCTCTTCACTTGAAGAGTAATTCCTTGATACCCCCAAATAGCCGTCCCTTACTTGTTGCCCGGTAAGTTACTTTGGCCCTGCTCTCTCTCAGCTTTCCATCTACACAACCTCGAAAATATCCAATCTCCAAGCTCCCCGCCATCCTCGTCAGCCTCGCCTCACCCCGCCTTGTAGTTTTCTGCATAACCACACAAACATCAATGACATCCGTGTCTGCGTGCTACTGCTGAACTTCAAGCTGTGCCGTACCGTGCAATCACGAGATTGAGAGTCTCAAACTCATTAGTTTGGCGATTCCAGCTTCAATTAAGGCGTCCTCCAGTGCACTTTGCCCCACTTTGACTTTGCACCAAACATCATCTCACTTTTTCCCCCAACCCTCCCACTAGTGCTCAGCTTCATACAACGATCAGTGCATTCTAACTTGCCATTCATAGACCCCACGCATTTTCCTCTTCCACGCCGCCAATATGTCTGAGACTTTCGAGTTCCAGGCTGAGATCTCTCAGCTACTCTCCCTCATCATCAACACCGTCTACTCCAACAAAGAAATCTTCTTGCGCGAGTTGGTGTCCAACGCATCTGATGCTTTGGACAAGATCAGATATGAGGCTCTGTCTGACCCCAGCAAGCTCGATGCGGAGAAGGACCTCCGTATCGACATCATCCCCGACAAGGAGAACAAGACCTTGACAATCAAGGATACCGGTATCGGTATGACTAAAGCTGTAAGTTCTTTCCAGGAGACACCCTCGGTGGGAAAACATCAATGCTAATCAATGGACTCACAGGACCTCGTCAACAACCTTGGAACAATCGCCCGCTCTGGTACCAAGCAATTCATGGAAGCTCTCACCGCAGGTGCTGATGTGTCCATGATTGGTCAGTTTGGTGTTGGTTTCTACTCTGCCTACCTAGTTGCCGACCGCGTCGTCGTTATCTCTAAGCACAACGATGATGAACAATACATCTGGGAGTCGTCAGCCGGTGGTACCTTCAGCGTTCGCCCTGACACAGAAGGCGAGCCCCTGAAGCGTGGTACTAAGATGATCCTCCACCTCAAGGATGAGCAGTCTGAATACCTCAACGAAAGCAAGATCAAGGAAGTCATCAAGAAGCACTCCGAGTTCATTTCTTACCCCATCTACCTTCACGTCACCAAGGAGACTGAGAAAGAGGTTCCTGATGAGGATGCTGAGGAGGTTGAGGCTGACGATGACAAGAAGCCCAAGATTGAAGAGGTCGACGACGAAGAAGAGGAGAAGGAGAAGAAGCCCAAGACCAAGAAGGTCAAGGAGACTTCCATTGAAGAAGAAGAGCTCAACAAGCAAAAGCCCATCTGGACTCGTAACCCTCAAGACATTACCCAGGAAGAGTATGCTGCTTTCTACAAGTCTCTTTCCAACGACTGGGAGGATCACCTTGCTGTCAAGCACTTCTCCGTTGAGGGTCAACTCGAGTTCCGTGCCATCCTTTTCGTTCCCAAGCGCGCTCCTTTTGACCTCTTCGAGACCAAGAAGACCAAGAACAACATTAAGCTTTACGTCCGCCGTGTCTTCATTACCGACGATGCCACTGATCTCATCCCTGAGTGGCTCAGCTTTATCAAGGGTGTTGTCGACTCTGAGGATCTGCCTCTTAACCTGTCCCGTGAGACCCTCCAGCAGAACAAGATTATGAAGGTCATCAAGAAGAACATCGTCAAGAAGGCCCTCGAGCTCTTCAACGAAATTGCTGAGGACAAGGAGCAGTTCGATAAGTTCTACAGCGCCTTCTCCAAGAACTTGAAGCTCGGTATCCACGAGGACTCGCAGAATCGCCAGATTCTGGCTAAGCTGCTGCGATTCAACTCAACCAAGTCCGGAGATGAGCTGACTTCGCTCTCCGACTACGTCACTCGCATGGCCGAGCACCAGAAGAACATCTACTACATTACTGGCGAATCTCTTAAGGCGGTCCAGAAGTCTCCTTTCTTGGATGCCCTCAAGGAGAAGAACTTCGAGGTTCTCTTCCTTGTTGACCCCATCGACGAGTACGCTATGACTCAGCTCAAGGAATTCGAGAACAAGAAGCTTGTTGATATCACCAAGGACTTCGATCTTGAGGAGACAGAGGAGGAGAAGAAGACTCGAGAGGCTGAGGAGAAGGAGTACGAAGAGCTGACCAAGTCCTTGAAGAACGTTCTTGGCGACAAGGTCGAGAAGGTCGTCGTCTCTCACAAGCTTGTCGGATCACCTTGCGCCATCCGAACTGGCCAGTTCGGCTGGTCTGCAAATATGGAGCGTATCATGAAGGCCCAGGCTCTCCGTGACACCTCGATGAGCAGCTACATGAGCTCGAAGAAGACCTTCGAGATCTCACCCAAGTCTGCCATCATCAAGGAGCTCAAGAAGAAGGTTGAAGCTGATGGTGAGAACGACAAGACTGTCAAGTCAATTGTTCAGCTTCTCTTCGAGACTTCCCTATTGGTTTCTGGCTTCACCATCGACGAGCCTGCTGGATTCGCCGAGCGCATCCACAAGCTTGTGTCTCTCGGCCTGAACCTCGAGGAGGAGGCTGAGGTTGTTGAGGAGGCGCCATCTGCTGACACGGTCGCCGCCGAGACTGGCGACAGCGCCATGGAGGAGGTTGACTAAACGCATAATGAATGAATGGCAATGGGAATTAAAAGTTCTTTGGCGTTGGGATGGGAATGGCCCCTCGGTGTTATAGGCTCTTGGTCGATTTGGCGCAAGAAATCTTTGTTTTAATCCTTCATACCCTCGTGGATCTGCAAGCGGCCGATTTGGTCCACTTTCGCCTGGGTCAGTTGCGCTTGACACAGGACTCATGTATTCTACATTGATGGTCCTCTTCAGATATAGATAGGTCGCAGTAATCAGTAGAGTAGAGAATGGAAAGTTCTAACTTAGTAATGAATTGATCTTACTATTACTGTGACATGTAGTGTGTTACTCAAGACCCTGGGTTGCCAATTGACGTCTGCATTAAGCCACCCCGAACAATCCCATTAGCTAGATAGTTCCCCCCGATAGCATTAGAAGCTTGTTTCCTGATCGTCGCCCCCTTATCAGTGCATTCAAATAGTCATTTTTACATATATACAAGCCAGATTTACGCTCGCATTGTGGAGTATGTATTCTTCATGTCAAGCGCTTGGAGAGGCGGCAACTCCAAGTTGGGTTTGCTCCGTATCATGTCTTGCAGATGGCGTTCCAGGCTCCGACCAGCGTTTGGTTGTTGTTTACGAAGGTCGTTGGGTCCATGCTAATGAATTCATAAGGTATGTATCGTTAGCTTTCAGAACTAGTCTTCGTTATTTCTTGTGTGTATTTTTTTTTAGGTGTCTTGTCAGTTTCTCGCGGTAGACTTGGAGATGCTATATTTTCATCCGTGCTCTCTTCTTGCCTTCCGAGTTATCCTACCGCTCTCCTCTGCTCTCTTTTTCTAGGTGGGTAGGTAGACAGCACAGATCAATGTACGTAAGGGAGCCACTCACAGGTCGTTGTAACACTCGCAGTATGAACCGACTTTGCTATCAGCGCGCACGAAGAAACTGCCGCCATGGCTCTGGTTCTGGCAGTAATACTCGCATTTGAACTGCGCGTAGGCGAACCCTGTTTCGATGGGCTTTGGGACGCCGAAGGTCTGTTTATTCATTGTCAGTTCGGGATCTTTTTCTCGGCGGATGCCTCGTTCTTTTCCCCTTCACCCTAGGCTAGGAACATCTTTGTTCGATGTTATCACTTTCATAGTTTTCCTGCTTTACTTCCCATCATATCAAATTTTTTTTTTCGATATTGTAGCATTCTCCTTTTCCATGTGTTTTCGGTGCCCATTATCCATAAAAGATGCTGTTAACCCGCAACCTAATATGTGACCACAATAGACGTGTCGCACGGAACAGTGAGGCGAATGGGAGAGATGAAAAACTTACGTAGCTTCCAACAAGGTGTTCACGAGCCCATCTAGGCTCCGGCTGGTATCCATTTACAAAAGCAGTGGCGCCCGGCGTCGCCTGTGTGTAGTACATTATTGGGTAGCCGGCTGTCGTTGTTGGCGCTCCCGTCGTGCAGGCTGTTCCTGGTACAACCGCCGTTGGCTTAGGGAGCACTACGCCGAGCACGGCTACGGCAGAAGCCAGGTAGGTGAGAAAGGCTTTCAGAAAGGCCATGTTTCCTCGAGTTGTGAGCGATTTCTATGTCGTTGGCGATGGTAAATGTATATACGCTTTCTGTAGCGGATGTAGATGCACTCTCTTGGGCCGTTAGATGTCAATCGAAGAAACTTTCAGTTTTAACGGGACAACCAAGGTGTCTGGGAGTGTTTCAGAGCCTGACGGATATGATGAAGGGCGATTGAAGGCGGATGAAGGCGTAATATATCCCGATGTATATATAGTAGTGATGTCTCATCCCGTGCGGTCACTGTTATAGTCTCAATTCTTCCCGCTCGGCTATCGACAGAAGTACGAGACAATACTACATTATCACACCCTTCATACGCTGCTCGATATGGCACCTCCAAGACCGTATGAGAATGGATATACACACCGTTTATAGATAGTACCGTGGGAACTTCGGGCTAGAATGAGAGTGTTATATGCTTTATTGTAGGGTGTAGGGATCACTGTTGATATAAGCTGGCTTAAGCTCAGCTTGTGTGCGCGGTACTAAGAAAAGATGTTGTATAGACGCGGCAGATACAAGATATTGGGATACTCAAGAGCAGCAGGCAAGATAGATAGATTCGATTGAGAGACTCAGCAAGCAATAGGATCCGACTCTACTACTGCAGCTTGTAAATGTCCAACCTAGTCAACAATTTACCCTGAAAACCTAACCGTGAACTACTTTAATCATTTAAGCACGTAAGTACCCGAGTTTCAGACTTACGGACGTAGCACCGCCTAGAATGATGAAGTACCTAGGATAGGTAGCACTTCCATTGAGAAAAACAAGTTGATCATGCCGCAACACGTATTGCAGACAACCAGATTTTAAGAATAGAAGGCTCTAAGCTGTCATTCCTAGAGGGAATGACGGAATCATGACTCGCTTGCAACGTACATTGGGAAATGAGGAGGAGGGGGGGAATGCCACCAGCCAACTAATCCTCTACTCCACATGTTGTTTGTTCGACATTAGAACGAGCAATGGATTGGAGTAAGTGTCTAAGGATACTGAGATTGAACGAGAATGGACGGCTCCATGCGTCCGACACCGAACCGGGTATTCACTCGGCAAAGGGAAAGAAATTTCCCGGTTAGAACCCAGGTCATCTATCTGCTACTTTTCACCTGAGTCGCGGTACCCAATTCAGCAGAAATGTCGGGAATACTGCCCATTATATCCTGATCCTGATTGCCATAAGGATAGGAGAGCATTGCAGGAAGTTGATCACATCTGCCTCACGTGGCATGGTAACGCCTGTCTGCTAAACCGTACAAGTAGACAGATGAGGGGATTGTAAATTCATACGCCGATTGCCAGAGTTACAAAATGGGGACCAAAAGGATTGCTTTTGGAGAAGCACCATGGGTGGATTGTAATAGTAGGTACAATTAGATATGAAATGGCCGGTTGGCCTCGATAGGGAAATAATAAAAAATGCAGAACATCCGGCGGAAGGCTTTCCAAATGAGTCAATGATCGGCCACCAGTAGGTTACCTACAGCAAGATCCATTAACACGTACTTTACTATCACATCTCTTCCCTCTCTCTAACCTCGAGCTTAAATCAAGACTGAGAGTTAGTCTTGAAGTACTTACCTTCGTTATGTCTGCTAGTAGCAACATTAATATGAGGGCTCTTTCATTGACACTCAACATTGGAAGGTCAATAAAAATACAATTAACGCCAACTATGCAAGGTATTAATCATTACAAGTAAACCTGGCCCAGCCCTATTGGATTTCCGTTCCACTGCTATATAACTGAACTGCTAGAAAAGCTTCACATGCAGTCGCACCATTTGCTGCTGCTGTCCCCTCTAGCCGTGCAATTCGCCCGTGGCAAACAACCCAAGAGAAAGAACATAGAAAAGAACACCATCCCAACTGCTGACTAAATATGCTTTAGTTGATGTTTAAGCTTTGAACGCCTTGGACCCCTCGCACAAACCAGTAGACAGCTTAGTAGCAGCTACCCACGTGGGAAGATACTGCAATGCCTCATCATATGCGGGAATGGTGCCAGGTGTGTTGGCATCATCCCAACTGCAAACAACATGGCCATCGATACCGTTGCCTTGCTCCCATTCTACATCAACGATCCATGGCGTACTCCAATCCCTCCGATAGAGTTTAATGCTTTCCAGGCCCTTATCTGGAAGTCCACCGAAACGCTCATCTGGGTCAGAGCCGCCTTCGACTTTGAACGTAGAAATTGGGTTCTCAAAAGAAATCCCACAAGATCGTGTTTCTGTTCCATGGATCTCGAATCTAGCCTTGAGCTCCCCATTTCCGCGAGTAATATTGTAAGTCAGCCAGTTACCATAGCCACGTTGAGGTGGAACACCTGGTGGTACACCTCTCACAACGTTGGGCGGGACATCAGAACCATCGTAGGTGCATTCATATAGACCACTACGTGAGCTGTTCGTCGGGTTGCAGTTCAGTTCCTTGCCCATAGCAGAAGGTAGATCCGCGACAGCTTTCTCAACATAATCTCGTAGTCCGACATAATGGATACGTGATAGACCGGTGTCAAGGTTAACAGTTTGCTTGAAGTAAATTTTGTACCGATTCTCCACAGAGAACGGGAAAGCGACCAAGTTATAGGTCAAAGTGGCGATGAAAACAGCCAGCAAGAACATGGGGACGTGATGCGTAATCCGATGAATGTACGGTGTTATTGGTAGAAGTAATAAAATGCTGAAGGACGCTGTGATTAAATAAGGTAATAAGAGGCTACCTCCATCGGATCCGGTTTGGGAAACCGAGGAGGCCACGAGGAGGCCATTTTGGGCAAATAGAATGATTAGGAAGGGCCCAGAGATCAAAAATTGTATAATCCAGGCCCAGCTCGGAAGTTTTGTAGACCACAATTGCTCATTAACATACGGACCATTCTTGTCTCTCGTAAACTTCCTATCAAGCAACGTACTTGCTCGCCTATAGGCTGCCCCAAAGGTAGTACTAGTGCCCCCTATTAGAGGCGTCGTTTCCGAAGGAACCAGTGCAGGCTCGTTATCAGCCCTTTCCCCTTCAATATCGTCACCAGGTCCGTCCGCAGGGGGGATAGATTCAACGTGCTCTATCACTAAAGAACTAGGTGTTAGCGATCGTCGCTACTAGTGCAATTTTGACTGATTCGAATAGCAAGAATTTTATACAGTACAATCTTAAAAGGACGGTTTTCATATCCGGGAGATCACATAACAAGAAGATGAGAATGACATACTATGCTCTTCGCCATGGTCCGTAGCATCATGTGCTGCGTGAACGCGCTGTGCAAATGCCATTTTTGATGGAAGTGCGAACAGTTCACAAAGTGTTATTACCGCTGCGAGGAAAGTAGCTGCATGGAGGAAAACAAATGTGTAGCCGGCCGCGATTCTAAAGCGGTCCTCGAAGACGGTATTTGCAACTTCAATAAGCCAAGAGATAGCAAAGAGCCAGATGATACAATATCCTCTGTGTAAAGCGCTTGGTCTTGCGAAGTTCGCACCTGCCATGATAGTCCAAAAGACAAAGTAGAATAAGGATAACATCATGGACCATCTGTCCGTGCTATTAGCTGTAGTTCCATGGCTTGCACTCGTCTTGAGAGAATGTACGACTCACACGGCATATTCACTGCTGTATATAATTAATGGATTAACCTTGGTGACGAGGTAAGCAGAACCTATCACCAGAGCCCCCGCCACTGTTAGAGCGAAGGGAAACCTGAAGATACCTTTTCGACCACCGAGCATAACAGGATCTAGAACGGCCCCTTCATAGGGCGACACCGTTGCCGAGAAAAAGTAATATTTCCCTTGCCGCACCAGCATGTATGTTATGGCAGCGAGTATCAATGGTGTAGCGATAAGAAGCGTCAGTGACCATGCGAAGAATGTTCGTAGCTCAAAGAGGGCCAGGGTCTTGCCGAAGAGGTCGAACCAAACGCCAGAGTTCCCACGGCCGTTGGGGACTTTGTTGCGATTTCCGTCGCCACGGCTTCCTATGAAAGTCTGGCCAGTATTACCCGAAAGTCTTTCCATCGTGTGCAAAGAGTTGCTCAACATGTGCCACAAGCTTGCGCGTGATGCATGTTTTGCATCGTCCTGGTTGGTGTGGTATCTAGCACGAGGGCGATAGAAGGCCATATCAAGCCCTCTCATGCCGTAGACGCCGTTAAATACGATATAGTCGGTGTTACTCCGAATGGCCCCAAGACCAAAGGCATCCGATGATAAAACACTACCGAATGGGTTCGGGCTTCCACGATAGGCAGCGGTGACCTCGGCATCTGTAGTTCTAAAGAGGGTCGCGCGACCCCCGGCACCAGCTCCTTCGAGGTTCAGGAAAGTATGGCAGAACGGCATGAATGGGCTATTTCCGAAAGCTTGAGCTCCCCATAGAAAATCTTCCTCGTTATTGTTGAGCAGGGCGACGATGCCTCTTTGAGGTTGATTCTCAGGCCGAGAGAAATAATCCACTAGGGCCATGACAGTGATACAGCCCATCCCATCGTCGGTTGCACCAAACCCGGTAGAGACGCTACGCGGTATTAATATCACTTCTCCTTCAAGAGGCAGCAGAACTGGGAACGCACGAATCGTAGTGAGCGTTCAGCAAGACGCCACCCTTACCGAGCACTTTATCTACACTGTAGCCTGGGGAAACGTCTTCCCACCAGCGCCCGAGAGGGTCATCCCTACCACGGACATATACGACGATGTTCTTGCCCTCGAAGTAGGCGGCGCTTTTGGTGCCGGAGGTCCATACGGAGCCAGATGTTGTTACGTTGGAGACGACGTCCTCGAGTATAACCAGGTTAGACTCGTTAGCTGAGTTCCTCTTCCTAATGTCGTCCAGCTCAAGTAGAAGCCAATTATGGATTTCGTCATTCTGCCGGCTGTTGAAGGGGTGATAGGAATGAGATAGGACTGTGAGATCCAGCCATGCTTTTGTTAGGTTTAAGCCGTGATACACGGTGGCATTGCCTGGAGCTGTAGGAACTGTCTCGTGGATGACGAGCAGTGGGATGAGAAGCGCTAGGTAGGCGGCGGTGGTGATGAAAGAGACAGAGAAGGGACGGAAGGCCAAAGGGTTCGACAAAGCCATGATGACCGAGGACGAATACAACAGAAGAACCAATCGACCTATGAGGATGCGGACCCAAGTTAGACCTACGACCTACGACCGGCGTGATGGAGTGGAAAAGAGAGTCCAAGCACTTTGGCCGAGCTCTACCTATGTCCTCGAGGCAGGTGGAGAAGAAATGCATGGTAGGCAAGTACCTACCGGTAGGTAGATGCATGTAAGTACTTAAGTAGCAGGTAGAGGTACATATAGGTACTTGAGTATACATATGGTCTTGTACATTCAGACACTGCACTACCCGGTAGTATGTCGAGCCTACCTACATAATGACAATGGGCACAGATAGGTACGTAGGTATACATGTCTCTCCTGGATTCTCCGAGGCTGACGAAATCAAGAACGTCTGCCTGGGTGTTTGTATACATGGCTTAACAAGGAGACGAAATCTCAGCTTTGGCTTCATGTACCTACCTACCTCGCCTACCCACATAGGTACATACTTCGTAGGTATATATCCAGTCCCGTAATGGAAAGGATGACGCCTGCTCGCAGAAGGTTTGGGGTAGGTGGTTGGATCCTCTTGGCGCAAGTGCGGGGTCTACTTGGGGGAAGAGGCTACGATTGTACCTGCCCACTTACTTACAACCTTGAATGTGTTATCTTCACGGAGGCAGGCGAGGCAGGTGACTTGAAGATATCATACGGTATACCGACCAGAGCGTCTGTTAATCTCATTTATGTAGTAAACCTAGAGAGGCAGAAATAAATACTACGTGTTAAAGTACGGTTTCAAAGCTCTGGTTACTGCGTACTGGCTACCTACCCAAGACTTATATCATATGGAGAGGTTGCGCGAATGGTCTTTGGTAATTCTGCATGCATTTTCCCATTAGTCTGCTATCTACAGGTTAGTCCTAATTGCCTAATCGTACACTCAAGTCCTGTCGTTCCCTTCGTCTTATTGTCGGGTATAGTAAGCCTTACAGAGGATGACTACGGCGTGATACTATGCTCGCAAGCGTTTCCTAAATATTATGTCGCTCACGTTAATGCGATGGTTGTAGGCGTAGTGTTAGTGAGCAACATGCGAGCTGCTTAGTGTGCAAAGCATCCATAAATCCGTCATCATATGTCCCAGTTAGTATCCGAAGGCTCATGCTGTTTGTCCATGCTGCACCACGCTAAGCACCAGGAGGAGGCGGTGGAGGCTGGTCACTAGGTGGCGGCGGAGGAGCACCGTCAGATGGCGGTGGAGGTGGAACAGCACCGCCAGCATATTGCTGAATCAAGGCATTGAGGTTACCAGGAAGTCCTGGCGGTGCGCCCAGAGGATTTGCAGGAAGGCCCGGAGGTGGTCCCATTCCTGGAGCCGCAGAGCCATACCCAGCGTAGCCGGGATAGCTATTATAGCCCGACTGGCCGTTGCCTTGATTGGGTTGATGCCAAGGAGCAGCTCCGGGAGCAGATGGACCGTTACCGTAATTCTGACCACCATAGTAATCGCCTCCTTGGTTCTCGCCGCCACGATTGCCGCGATCACGCCAAGGAGCCGGGCCACCCCCACTGCCACCGCCGCCGCCTTCGTGTCCACGATCGTCATTGCGGGTGCGCCACGGCGCGGCCGCGCCCGTCGGGCCACGCTGCCAAGGTTTGCTATCACCGTTACCGTTATTGTTGTTGTAAGAGCCTGGCCCGGCTTCGATGCGAGCAGGCGGCCCGCTTGAGCCTCCACCAAGCTCTTGCATCAATTGCTGATGACAAGGAATTAGCCACTGCTATAACAATATTCGAGTACACGATAAAGGGGGAGCTTACCTCATATTCACGATCAACACCGTCAGCTCCACCAATGCGACCGGCAGCACGAGGGCCATCGTTACGCCAGCTGGCACCCTTCTGCCGATCAGGGCAATCTCGAGCCATGTGGCCTGCATTGCCACAGACACGGCAAATGATATTGGCAGTAAAATTCTGCTTCTCTGGACAATCGTACTTCCGGTGACCAATCTGCCCACAGTTCTGGCATGCTTGATTCTCATCATCACGGAGGGTACCGTTCAGTGCCGCTAGCTCACGAAGCTGGTTGCGCTTGAGTTCATTTTGTCCTTCAGGAATAGAGGCAGCCTAACAATTTCTTAGCAACCTAAATCAAGGGATAACATGAGGGAATCGTGATCATCGACTTACAGTCTCAATGACGTTGTGGATCAGCTTCTTGGCTTTGTTGACCTTTTCTTCGGTATCGGCCATGATCAAACAGTGAAGATCTTCCTCCTGGTTGCTTGCGTGTGCAGCATCGGACCGGCCTTTACCTTCCTTCACGGAACCTTTTCCGCGGATTGCAATCTTGGCACCGGATTCAGTTTCCATCTTCTTTAGAGTATTGCCACGAGGGCCAATAAGTAAACCAACTTTAGGAAGAAGAGCTAAGTGTTAGTACGGGTCACACGTTACGGATTATGGGTATGTAGTTAGATGTCGCCAGCGCTTCCACGTTACGAGACACAGGTAAGACGGCATTCCTGGCAAGGTCCCGAACGAGAAAGGGGGAGGACATGGTTAGAAAGGTTAGAGGGTTAGCAATCTCACTGAAGTTAATCTCCGGGTAATCATTGACCGGCACATAGACCTTTTCTTGGGTCTTAGTCGGTCGGCGATAGTCCTGTGGTGGGTGGTAGTTAGGGATGGTCTTCATGGCCTTCTCAATCAGTTTGTGTCGCTCGTCTTCTAGGCGCTTGCGGTAACGATATTCTCGAGTATTGACACGACGACCATGGTTGTCGTATTGTGGTGGAGGAGAGGGAGATCTGAACAGCGCGGACGAATTAGCTAAGCGACCTTGCAGTCGACGATACAGAGGTAGGGTGTATTACCTGTCACCGTCAGCAGGAACAACATCATCGATCCTCAGCTTTTGACTGATCTCTTCGATTCGGAGATGCAGGGTGTAAGCTTCAAGCTGCTCGCTGGTCATATTGGCCACGATAGCAGTAGGAAGACCCATGAGGCCAGCTGCTTTGTTCTCGGAGGCATCGCCCCATCTGTTACGCTTTTTGCGGCGACGAGGACCATCTGCGTCGGATCCTATTATATGACGCGGTTAGAACCAACAGACTGGCCTAATGTACGAAGAAATCCCGCCTTAAGATCATGGAAAGGTGAATGCTTACTAGGCTCGGGACTGCGACCGCGTTTCAGTTCGCGGTCGCCATTGAAGGCACCGTCAAATCCATCTTTACTGTCTTCGTGCCTTGTCTCAACGCCATCTGAGTCGCTACCGAATCGTCGGCGGGTTCCAAGAGGGATGTTGTTCGAGCCGGTAATGCCTTGGTTTCTCCACGACATGGTGAAGGATACAATACGCAGCGTCTATTTATGCGATCGCGTCTGCTGAGTTGGGGTTTAAATGGCCAGCGCGTGAGAAAGTTAGGTGTAGGCAGTGTAAAACTCTTAGGTACCTACTGCTGGGGCGAAAGTTTTAAGGCCCAAGGCTTCAGAACACTTGGACCCATCCAACGTGACAATACAGGTCACGTGAAAGTAGGGAATTGTCAACTTAGCCTGACTGCGCACTGTAGACTCATCTTAGTCATCCAACAGCTTTTTGCAACGACCTATATTAAAAGGTAGCCACATCGATTAAAACAAGGAATTAATCACATTCGGACAGCATGAAACGTGGCCATTCATAAGTCTACGATTTCTCAGCCGGAAGGTGCTCTAGGAACGTTGTACCAAAGCTTCGTCAAGATATCCTTACAACTGGACGCCTACTGGACGCCTGCTGCAACTCAACCATATCAATCAGGTAATAAAATAGCCTTGAAGGTATCACTCGAGGACCTCTCTATTCACATAACTTCTTCACCGAACCCCGTAGTACTGTAACTAGCTATCCGATGTCAAGGAACACATGCTGCTAGCGTTTGCGTGCCTTAGGATCATCGTACCTAGATAGATTATTCGGTAGCTCGAGGCCCCAGTGTCTGATAGCCTTGTGACAAGGCGAAACCCTTATAGACGCCTGTATTGAGCGCCGAAACATTCCGGTCATGTCCTTCAATGTTCTTGGATATTTGTAGATGGTGGTTTCGTAGCACTGTATATAGCCAGAGAATTCGGGTTGAGATGGAAACCCTGAACCACGCATGCTGCCTACATGCTTGTTCCTAGAATATGATCTTGACGCAAACGCCTCCCTATACACAGATTTGATCTTGCCTCACTGATGGGTTGCTGATGTAAACCACCTGTCTACATGTTACCGCAGTCATTCTTTTGATGCTGGCTCCGCAGTCAAACGATGGCTCTCAACATGTGTCTCGATATAGTTCAACACGTAAGAGAATGCTAGTTTGGTTGTGCATTTGTACACTAGACACTGTATGGACCAAATCTGGATTAAAGTAGGCGTTGTTGTCCTTATATCAACATCCCTGCCGTCTCTTCTAAAGCCTTATTCAGTAACTCTGTCGCAATTGGGTCTTGTGGGTGTATTGCTAGAGCTTGGTGTAGTACTTCGACAGCCATACCCCACTTGCTACCCTGCTCCATGTAAATCAACCCTTTTGCAGCAAAGATGGCGGCATCCTTGCCGCCCTGTCGTAGCACTTCATCGAATTGGTCTAGCGCATCTTCATACTTCTTCGCGCGTCTGTAAGCGTGCGCCAGATTTGTCCGAGCCGAGAGCCAAGCCTGAGGCTCTGCGTCGATATCTTCAGCCACCTCTAACGCCTTAAGAAATAACGTGGCGGCTTCTTGCGGGCGATCTTGGTGATAATATACAATTCCCATCTCATTGAGAAGTAGTGGATCCGTCTTGCAAAGGCCATAGGCCGTTTTCAGGAACTCATCGGCAAGTGTCATATTGTTCAAGGCATGGTTCTGCATTCCCAGGAACACCTGAGGCAGATGCGTACCCATGAAGAGCCGGGCGGCGGTCGAATACGCTGATATGGCTTGATCATGCTCGCCTTCGGCTGCGAAGGTATGTGCAAAGCCGATCCAGGCTGGTCCAAAGTGCGCATCCATCATGCTAGCTTTACTAAAATAGCGTCGGGCTTCGGCTATCTTGTCGATTGCAAAGTAATAAATTCCCACCGCAAGCCATGCGCAGGGCTCCTCTGGGTGGTTGTCGGCAAGATCGTGTGCTATTAAGAATAAGACGTTCTTCATCTTCAATTCGAATAAGCAAGCAAGGTGCAAAGGATATATGCTGAAGTTGTATTTATCCTCTTCCAAAACAGAACTCGTTATTGCCAAAGCATCCTTGTATCTACACTGAGTGTATAGGAGGTCTGCTCGGGCTAGAAGGAGATCCGGATTTGAGGCGAGATTATAGTGAGTTGACAACGTCTCGCAGGCGGTGGTAAAGGAATCAGGGTTCCGGTATTTTGAGAGCCGTGTAGTGTACAGCATTCTGGTGAAGTGGGCAGCTTCCTGCGACAGTGAGTCATCTACTGGCTCCCCGGGCTCTCGGGAAACCCTTATGGCATCAAAATCAAGAGATTCCAAGAATTGCCACTCTTCATCTGGCGACATTAGAGAGTTCTTCATAAGCTGCTGAAAGGCCTCAAAACACTGCACATCGATCCGAACAGCATCCTTGTAGCACTCTTTCGCTCGATCGAAGGCGTTCTGCTTGGCATAGCAGATGCCTCTGAGATAGCACATGGCGGCCTCAAACCGCCTGTTGGTCGTTTCATCGTCGGGTGCTTCACCTCGGCTGTCCTGGGCTCTGGAGAAGCTGCGCCCTACGCCCGCCGCAGAGCGACCGTTTGTGTGCTGAGTTTTGCGTTTAGTCGCGGGGTTTGCTATGAGATCTGGGGAGCGCTCCCCGAGCACTGCCAGAGCCTCATCATAACGAGACTGTTTGATGAAGCAGAGGGCGGCCAAGTACTGGCACGATGGGTTTCGAGCGATGAGATCCTGCTTGGATAGGAATGCCTGCGCCCTCGTATAGTTGCCCGTGGCAAAGTGCACTTGTGCTAGCCAAAAGGCATCATTGTCATGGTCTATAATCCTTGGTTAGCATAGGGTCTGTTGGGTGCACACGGACGGGGAGTGTCGAGCGATGCAACGGACACATGGGACCATGAGGCTTGGTACATACTAGTGAGTGCTAACAGCTTGTCGCCGATGAAGATGGCTGATTCGTGCTGGACTTTATTCAGGGCGTCTTGCCTCCATTCGCGAAGGAAACCCTCCATGATGGTGGTGCAGGCATGGATCGGCCTTAGGGACGATGCGGGTGTTTACAGTGGCTCAAGCTGTTCGTTGCGCGGGGGGCGCGGGGCGCAGGGCCACAGACGCGCTCTTCCGCCTTACATGGATCGTAAGGGTAAGGTACCTACGTGTACCTATTGAAGAGATACATTACCTACCGGTAGTGCACCTTCTCTGCTCATATACTCAAGTATCTACATACCTAGTAGGTATCTAGGTACATAGCACTATGTAGATAGCGCTACCTAGGTATTCTGGTAGGTGCTTGGTCTGTACCTATTAGTGCCCCCGGTATGCACCCTCGGCACCTACGTACATGCCTACCCGTTGGGACTCCACTTTCGTCGCCAATCTTCTGACTTCCAGTAGAAGCGTTGGGGTCTTTAACTCGATTATGACCAGTCAACTCGATTAAAGCGGGTCAAAGCTTAGGTACTTAATTTTATATACAATCCTTACCAAAAGAGAAGTAGCTCTGCTTAAGCTAATTTACCTTCACATAACGATTGAAAACTTGAATACAGCTTCAGAATTCAATTAGGCAACCACCTTCTAGCCCACCTACCCCCCCACCAACTTCTACACCTTCAACACCTTCAAGTTCAACACCTTCAAGTTCAACACCTTCAAGTTCAACACCTTCAAGTTCAACACCTTCAAGTTCAACACCTAAAAACTGTTCAATCTACACAATAGCAGAATTACAAACAAAATACGCGTAATGTTGTTTACGTAAGGGTGGTAATATTCTTGGCATTCAGTTAAAAAGTATGATGTTAATACGGACTTGTGTAAATCAAGAGCTACTTCTATTTAGGTGAGAACTACACCTATTTGGAAGTAGCCCCCGCTTTAATCGAGTTGACTGGTCATAATCGAGTTAAAGACCCCAACGCTTCTACTGGAAGTCAGAAGATTGGCGACGAAAGTGGAGTCCCAACGGGTACCTACTTAGGTACCTACCCATATACCTCCTAGTATGTGCCTCCTTAAGTACATACTTGATTAAGAGGTAAGTTCCTGGGTATGTAGGCTTACCTCACTTATTAAACACATCCATACATACGGTAGCCAAGTAGAATGTAGGAAGAAAAGTGAGCTGAATGGTAGGTATGTAGGTTGTACTATAATACTAGATCTAGGTAACTACCTAAGCCTACCTAGGTATCAATGATGCAGGATGGCTGCTATATGAATTACAGTAGAACTCTTCTAGCAGCGGACAGAAGAAGTGGATTGGAGGTCCTGCCACGTGCATCTATTTAGTTGAAAGCGCCTTAAGGGCATTGAAGTGATGAGGATACTGGGGAAATATAAGGGTACCTATATACCTATGGCACAACCAACTTCCAGCGGAGTGCACATGTTGGACCAAGTCTTGCTATTATACCTAGGTAGGTAGATACCTTCTTAAAAAGAATACAATTAGCGTGAACTCGCCCCATTAGTGTTAACGCCAATGCCCAGTTCACTTATTCAACTGGTGCCATATCATCAACGTCATTATATTCCTCCTGTTCCTTCTTCATCTCCTCTTCTCTCTTGAGTATCCGTGCTTTTACCTCCAAATAAACACCAATAAGCCCAAGCAGCGCTGTTCCCTCGTTCGTGACCATCAATCGTAACTTCAAGTCCGGGGGCACTCCGAAGTCCACAAGTCGCTTCGTCCAACTGTCTGGCACTGCAGTCAGCCCTGGTACTTGCGAGTCCCCCGGTCCCATCAGACAAGTACAGCTTCTTAGGGTTTGGAATGGCTCGATTCGTTTTGGTAGGTCCAGGAAGATAACAGGACTAGTGACGTGGTCTCTTTCGAAGGTGAAGGTCACGTCCTTTATATTTTCTAGCGCTATTGAGTGAAGGATGTTGTCTTTGAGAAAATGTACCCTGCCAGCTCAGATCTCTAGGGGGGCTTAGAGTCCATAAAGAATGATTCCCTTGGAAAAATGCTTGTCTGCCCAGCTCGCGGAAGAGTTTGTTTATCGAGCTGATGAGGACCCAGTCATCAACATGGGGTCTCTGCGAAGCGTACACCACTTTTGTCTTGACGTCGACCCATAGTGCCATCGCGCGGCCATTGTCGAACACCAAGGCAGCCTGTCTTGTGACTCTCGTATAGCATGAGTGATCGTCAATAAGGAATTGCGTTTCGCGTGCTATAGTGTACTTGAGAATCGTGAATAATATATCAAGTGGCAGTACGTTAACGATTGTCACCGCCTAAGGAGCACTAGATCCAGATGCATCCATGTTGATAGACGTCGCGCGAGGGGGATAGGATACTAAGCCTTCAGTGCAGTTAGAAATGAGGAAAAGTATGTTATGTTGACAAAATAACATTGTATTCAAAAGAAAGGCCGAGGTGGGAAAAAGATTTATGAAAACTAGCCTCATAAGCAGGACCGTAAACTTGAAACTAGAAGATGGTTGCATAACTCTGTTCGTACGGCCATTGCGATCACTTAAACACACATATATATATATCATCACTTAAACAGGACTTCACCAGGCGTTTAATACATTTATAGAGCAGTCACACCTAGTACTAACTTCTCGATTCCTTACGACGGTCTCAGCCAAGAGTCCCATCTCACTACGGCGGCACTCGATCTTTCTTGATGGGTGTATTGGTAGTGACAGGCATCTATCCTTCCTGATACACTGGTAAGGAAACCGTTTTCTCAAAGGAACTGACGCCATATTGCTTCATATCGTGCCTTCAGGTTTGATGTAGGTACTAACTCAGGTACAATGTTGGTAGTAAAGGTAAGGCTACGTCACCAGAATCCCTCCCAGTAGGTATAGTTTTGAGGATTTCGCACCTCCGGAGCTGGCTCAAGGAGATACACCTATCAAGGGCTATATAGTGGCCTAAATACGTAGATAAATAGCTACTATTTGTATATGTGCTCCAAGAGTGCTGAGGCGTCAGCAAACGCCGTGAACTTTGGAGGTGCTTCAAAGGTCGTCTGGTGACTACGGGTGTCCATACGCAAGACGTGGTTGCGCGCACAGATAAATCGGCGTAGGTTCTTGAGTGCTTAGGTTGATAATGAATGCATTAGATATTCAGTTCGTCATCTTGTGTGATGTGTATTTTTTGTGACGGATGGTCTAATGAATCTTTCCTCATTACACCTAGCATTCTATGCTTTGATTCGGGCTGCGAGACATTTGAAAACACCGCTTGCACTGCAAAGAAAACTTATGAACTTGCTACAGTAAGTTTGATTTCCGTTGTACTAATACAGACGCCGGTCACGTCTCCCCATATTCCTGCCTATCACATAGCATCTATGGGTGTTCTCCACGTAGGGCAACTGGAGCGGAGACGGCCGAGACGCTTCCTTCACCACATCGCCCCTTGGCAGTAGTATCTAGCAGGAATAGCCATGCGACTATCTTTCAAAACTACCCACCTAGGTAGTCACTCTGATAAACATCGCCGCACGCTAGGCCACGCGGTACAGCGCACCGTCAGTTGTGACCGACAAAGTGGCTACATAATACACGACGCCCAGTGAATGGGATAGCAGCATCGCATGGTTCAAGGTAGCTGCGATGACAGGTGCTATGTTTGAGCTTGCTTCCGCCCATCCTCTGAGCCATCAAATGCAACACTCTTTCCACCGACCCTGTACCTGTGTTTGCCTGTACGCGTCATGTAGAATTTGCAGACGAAAGGGGTTTCTGGCCCCTCTTAAAGACTGCGTCGAAACGGAGTGACGTAGGCCCAGACAACTGTCTTACAGGTCATCGGGGGATTTTTTCCCTTCGTCTACCTTCCTGCTGGGCCGCCCAACCCAATCGTACCATATTACAAGGCTGGTGCGTGGCACGGTTACTATGTATCTGATGTACTGTTTCTTGGGGGCGCAAGCGCGAAAGATATGATGCCGATTGCCGGTCTAGTCAGACTGATCTGCACACTAACCAACACGTACGCACGCAGAAGGAGGGCAGTGCTATCTTTAACCTTTAACTTGCTAGCCAAGGCAACTAGGAGGGTCGGGAGGCAGGTACCAATTTCATTGGGTAGATAAAGAGTTATTAACCCAGTTACATTGCCTTGGGAATCTAAGGCAAGTAGTATATTCGTTGGCATCTTCAACAATGACGGGCCGCCATCATGGGATTCTCCGGCTACTATAAGAAGATATTGACGATAGGCGTGCTGATATTAGCCTTGATTGGTAGGTCCACTCACTGTCTTTAATGGACCGCATCTTTCAATGGCTAATAGCTGGCTGGGTAGGTGTTCTCACGTATACTATCGTGGATTATACACATCAAAATCAGCGCCATGCGTCAGAAGACAACGATCGGGCTGATGACGATGAGCCCCCCGTTCCAGAAGTCCCGGAGATTCCAGAGGTCCCGGAGGTCCCAGAGGTATCATCTCTGCGCCTGATGTGTATAGGTGCTTCGATAACCCGCGGAGAGGGATCGAGGGGTGGCCGCGGCTATAGAAAACAGATCAGGGACGCTCTTACATCCTCAGGAAAGACTGTGAACTACGTCGGCTTCAACCGTTTTGGCGATTGGGAGGATAATGATGTCGAGGGATATGGCGCGTACCGGATACGAACGATCACTAAGAATGCGAGACAATCAGTTCCGGCATTGCGACCCAACCTGATCCTCGTGCAAGTTGGCACTAGCGACTGTTTTCAAGAAGATGATACTGAGAATATTGGCTCACGGATGAGAATCCTAGCGGACGCTATGATAGATGCGGACCCTGAAGCAACGGTAATTCTATCGACGTTGGTTACAACGCCAGATCCGGACTACGGTACGCATTACCTAGAGTTGTTTTCTTCCTATTATAACAACTTGTGGAGGCGAATGTCTCTTTCCAGAGAGCCTACATGTCTCGGGGCTATACAAAGCTCCCCCGTCCGTCCATGCTCCTAAAAGTGTGATTGCTAACTCTGGCGAACCATAGAGCCGTGCATCCTCAGTGCTAATACACAAATCCGCCAAGTTGCTGATGACATGATACGCGAGAACAAGACGGTCGCGCTGGCGGAAATGCACTATGACCAGGGACTACCAGATCGTCCGAAACCGGAGGATATTGGCCCTGATAGAATTCACCCAACTGACGAAGGGTATTCCATGATGGGTGACATCTTCCTGGAGAAGATCCGAGAAATTGAAGAGAAGGGATTTCTGCAACCACCCTTTAACAATAGCATACCTGACAATGGCGACGATGGACGAGAGGTGGAAGACGAGCTGAAAGCCAAGGCCGAGGCCGAACACCCTATCACCAAGGGTTCGAGGAGGAGGAGATACGTGGACACTACATGACGTGTTGAACTTTCTGACATCTCGTTAACGACTTTCATGATACACTATTAGATGGTGGCTTCAGGTGCGGAATCGCGAGCATAGATAGGCGTCTCTGGTGTGCTTCGAGAATGCATGGATATGGGTTTCCATGCTGCATTTCCTAGTTCACACCCTCATCTCTATAAAGATTCATAGAAGCATAGAAGCATAGATGTACGCAAGTCTCATATAGATTGCGCTGGTTAACAGCGATCATTTTTTGAGGATCACGATTTCAAAGTGCTGAGAACACACGTGATATTACGCTAAGGCGGTACAACCCTGGATCGTGATGTGGCGTTGTAGAACATGGCTTCGTCATAGGTAACCAGCCTGCCCTTGCACTCCCTGAATCAGTCTTACGAATACTAACGGGATGTCATAAACGTAGTGCTATATGATGAATGGCATCAGAAATTAAACATCTGTTATCCAAACTTCGTTAATTGCCACTACTGAATCATGCAGAGACACATGGATGTCAGGGATTGCAGTCTATTTACGGAAGTCCAACTCACAGAACTTGTCTCATCAACTCTCCGGGAGAGATCAGCCTTATAAGCATCTACCTAATTATTTATCTATACAGTCGCATCCATCCTCCTCAAAAATCCAATCAGTAAGGGAGTAAAAGCGGAAAGCTTCTTTCTCCTTCACTACCTATTTGCCAGGAACTGCTGAGTCCCCTTACATGAGGTAGATGCAAAAGAGAGAACGTGGAAATCATTATAACACCGGATAATGCACATATATGAACAGCGGAAAAAGCACAAAACTCCTAAACGACCCTAACAAGAACTCCACCCTGTTCCGAGATCGAAAAACACCCGACAGTGACCAAAATACCCGATTCGCTTGTTTAGAGACACAAGCGTGACAAAACACCTAAGTTGGTACACCTGTGCTAGAAAGCATTGCTCCACAGCTCCCCCAGTACAGCGTTTATAAGTGGTACAAGGTAAGTTTCGACTTTCAGTGGAAGAATCCAAGCCTTCCATGACTATTCGCTGTACGATTCGCCGTTCATTGGAGAGTAGTATGACACTGGGTATAGAATTAAATCACACAATTTTTTATCACTCATGTCCCAGGCCAACGCAGACGTAGGCCATCGATCCACCGGCTGTAAAGTACGTCGGAAAGCTGTTTGCAATGCTCCATACCGGGTTGGGCCACGCGACCAGGGTACTTGGCTTGCAACGCTACTTTCTCAGCATCACGTTCTTGCTTGGTAGCCTTTTCAGGACTACCTGTACCGGTAGGTAGTAGCGCGGCGCTCTGGCGCCGCCTATGACTCTTTAAGTGCGGATTGTTTGCAGCGAGAACAAGTTTCGGTGGGCTCGGAGGCGGGTTGGCTGGTGCACTCTTAATGATCACCGTTCCAGGTGGCTTCTCCGAGTCCAGGGGACCCATTGTAGAATCTAAAGGATTCAAGAATGCGTTTGACAGTTTGCTATCTTGCGCCATGGTTGCGTTAAGGTTGCGGAAAAGGTGGTATGCCCCCTCTGGGTCCACGGCATCGAGTGCGGCAAAGGCATCGGACAGTTTTGCGAGGGCTTCTCTCTTAGCCATGCTAGATGTCTGTGCGTGAAGTTCTGCGAGGGCAGGATCAAGCGCTTTCGAATATAAACGTCGACCTAGGATTGCCTCCTTACTAGTTACCTCGACCGCATTTGGGTGCTTATTCTCATCTGCGACATCGTCAAAGGGGCTAGGGGAAGAAGCACGTCCAGAGTTGGAGCCGTCAGACGGCACCCTTCGGAACAGTCGTTGTGAGGAGCCAGAATTACCGAAGGACATGTCTGGTTGGAGCGGACGTCGTATAGCTGGAGGGGGTTGACCACGTACGGACCTAGTACTAGAGATCAGGGCCCCTGACGGCTGTCTCAATACAGTGGACTTCCGCATCGTTGGCGGTGCAGGGGAAGTTGGCTGTAGAGGCGCGTCCTTAAGATCCATCCGTCTCAACGCTTCTTCAGTAGAGAATATGGATGATGGTTTCCGTGACTTAACCGTTGCTTTCCGCGGCACGACCGACCTCACTGTGTCAAAGACCCATTCATCTTCCTCGTCTCTAGGCGAAAAGTCTTGAAGAGTTTCCTGGTAGTAAGGCCGGTTTCTCTTCTTGGTCTTTGTCGCATCGTAAGTTCGCCTCCTCTCGATTAGCTCTTGCAAGGCTTCAACCTTGCCAGAAGACTTAATGAACCGATGTCGCAAGAGCTCCTTAGCCGAGGGCCTACGTTCTGGGTCTTTCATAAGACATTGCGCGATAAAGTCTTTGAATTCCTTAGAGAAATTGCCTTCAAGCCTCGGGGGAGGGTTCTTCGGGATATGAAAAAGGGCCTTCATAGGATGAAGGCTCGCATGAGGGGGCTCCCCATTTGCCATCTCTAGAGCTGTGATACCTAATGACCAAATATCTGCCTTGAAGTCATAGCCAGACTGTTGAATCACTTCTGGCGCCATCCAAAAAGGGGTACCAACAAAGGTGTTACGCTGAGACTTGATGTTGGTGAGCTGTGCAGCTACACCGAAGTCGGCCAGCTTGACCTTTCCCGTCTCCGAGAGCAAGACATTGGCGGCCTTGATATCTCGGTGGATCTTTCCTTCGGCATGAAGGTACTCGAGGCCGCGGAGGAGTTCGCGGCAGATGATGGCAATCTGCGGTTCGCCAAAAGAGCAAGGCTCGGGCTTTAGCTGTACGGGACGTTGGTGTCAGAAGAGATAGCGCAAGAAAGGAGTCAAGGGGGCCTTTTTACCAAGTCGAGACACGATCCACCGCCGAGATACTCCATAACAATCCAAAGTTTGCTCCCACGTAGGAAACTTGCCTTGTACTGTGTGACATAGGAACTGGCGCATGTGGCCAGTACCGATATCTCGGCTTGGATGTCTTGGATATCATCGTCGGTTGATTCGAGATCGATCTAGATGTCAACAGGTCAATTTTGAACAGTCATCGAGGACATGGCTCGGTAGGGAATTGTGTATAGGTTACCGACATGTTTGATAGCTACCACCTCTCCAGTTGCTTTCTCAATGCCTTTGTATACAACACCAAAGCTACCACCTACAATGATTAAAAGATACGTAAGCAGCCCACTCTCGTGCATATAGATATTTGAACAAGCGTAGCACTAATGTTTACTTACGACCGAGTTCTTCGAGAACCTGGTAGTGGCCAGCAATTGCTTCGTCGGCCATGCTGCTGAACTTGTATGATATCACAACAATGATGCGCCGTCAATGGAGACGGAGGCGGTCTGTGACGAGGCGACGGCGACTTGGATGTGGCAGGCGCGCAGCAGCGCAGCACACTAACACGTGCAAAACGCAGACACTGCCCAAAGATGCGCCCCAATGCTTCCAGTATGGTGAGATAAAGGTTATATTTCGAGCAAGTCGGGCACTACCTAGGTAGGGATGTTCTAGGATTCTAGGGATGCGCAGGTGACTACAGCAAGTCAATTGGCAGATAGTGACGGGCAGGTAACGGGAAAAGAAGCTCGAAAGTCTGTATAGAGTCTGGTCTGTCTATCTTGCTGAACAGGAGACTGCGTGGTTGCCAGGGCAGATGCAGAGTGAAGACGGACGACGAGGCGCCGGGGATTGGCTCAAGTTAGGACCAACAACAATATGCCTGTCTGGGCGTAGCGCCCCTTCTAAGCCTCCCAGTTGAGTGGTCAACAACGCTTCCAGGCCAATAATATCGCTATACGCCACCTACTAGTTACCCAGGCTTGGTCCTAGTCCTCGCTAGTGTGCTGGGGCAACCGAATGGAGCAGAAGAGGAAACCCTTTTCTTTTCTTTTCCTTTCTGCTGCTATAATTCGATCATGTTTCTCGTGATGCTTGATTGCGTGTAACTAGGCTGTTACTTCGTGAGCACCAATTGAGAAAAAAGTTCCGCAAGGATGCATATAGTACAACGGAATCCCTATCCTAGATAGATAAATAGATCTTGGATAAAGCATATATTAATAGATAGGTAGGTCAAAGGTCATATTGGTAGTTACTGAATTCTCGTAGGGGTATGTATTGTATCTACATTCTAGATGCTGTCTACTCTAGTCTATATGTAAGTCCTCATGGTGACTGTCTTCGCTACATAGGCAGGTATGTCAGTGTGGTAGTGGTACAGACTTTGAAGGTAGGTATCGTCATATCCATCGAGCAGTAGCAGAGTAGGTATTTATGTACAAGTCATGGGGTCATGGGGTCAGTCATTGGCTGCCGTCAGTGGCTGTCCTAACTGAGTTAGTGGCCCACATTCACTGTCCCGTTTCAGACCCCCGTTACTGGGCAACGGTAAATAGGACCCCTCTGTTTGGAAAGGTACCAAGTGACTTTGACTACGCGAAGCCTGCGAACTCCCATCCGCCCACTACTTCTTGCATTTTATTGGCAGCAAGGCAGTGTGATGTGGACAGGCAGACAGTTCATGGAACCGAACCCTGTCCCAACCGTCTCCAAATGCATCGTGAGAGCCGACAGGAACCACGCCTGTGCTCTGCCTTCGCTTGATCTGTTTGCAGGCTGGTCCCCCCTTATTGCGTCCCTTATTGTGTGTGTCTGTTACTTCGCCCTGCGAAACCAGACATCGCGATATATGAGAATAATCATCATCTATATGCTCTACAACTCTACTATAGTCTCTTTAGGCGATAGCGAATTGCATCTTTGCCCAGCGTCGTCATCATCGCTCCTCAGATTCGCCTGTCCGTTACATCTCCCTACAAAAGCATCACTAAGCTGCTGCAAGACGCTTCATTATCCGAAAGACGATGAGATTGCATCTCGTACAACAACAGGCCGGATTACCTTCGTGACGCACAGTCCACGATCGCCTTTGTGATCCTACATTTCGGCCCTGGAACGACGGAACGTGACGACTGTTATCATAGTTCAAACAAAGCCCATTCATTACCTATAATAGGAACCCGGGGACAATGGTCCCAGCACCGCCGCCCTTGCCCACACGGTTCCCGTGCTGGTGCAGAGCTGTCTATTCGTGGGGAGGAGAGGTCAGTTTTTTTTCATAATTAAATCAAATATTGAGTCAAACGGCGGTGTGCTGACAGACTTCGTTATGGCAGTCTACCCGAGACCTGGGATTCATCGAGGGGGACCTGATCGAGTGCCTAAATGCAGGCGACGGCTCATGGTGGACCGGAAGGCTACGGCGCAACAAGACTGTTGGCGTCTTCCCGTCCAATTTCGTCGAAGTGCTGCCTGACGATTTCCGGCCCATTAGTAGGTCGATAAGCCCTTTGACCTCGAGCAACACGCCCAGCCCAACCAGCAGCCTGCAAAAAACAAAATCGAAACCTTTTCGCAAGCCTTTCGAGGCATATGCCAAGGCGCCCCATTACACGACGGCAAAACAACCTGAAATTATACGACAGCCTTCCTTTACGCCCCCCAGAAAAGACTCTAGAAAAGACTCTGCTAGTTCTTTCCGGAATAGTGTTCGCGGGAAGACTGCCCATGCTCCTACACCCCCTGAGGCTCGCGAATATGTTTCGAGGGCGCCATCACCTGCACCTCATAATGCACACCATCGTGCAGCCTCACCAGCACCGTATGCTTCTTCCTATCAAGAACGAGCTCCGTCCCCAGCTCCGCCTCGAATGCTCGAGTATAACCCTCGCGCCCACTCGCCGGCACCTCCCATAGACTCTTATCAACCTCGAGTTCCTTCTCCAGCGCCTTATGTTGGTTCCTATCATAGTCGAGCTCCTTCTCCAGCTCCAGTTCATATCTCTTCCTATAGCCAAAGGGCCCCTTCGCCCGCTCCACCTCACGTGCCTAACCACCACAGAGCACCCTCACCAGCACCGCCTGTAATACACCATTATGGTAGTCGAGCGCCTTCACCTGCGCCGCCGCAGGTGCAAGCTTTTGAGTCACGAGCACCATCTCCAGCTCCTTCATTTAGCTTTAAGCCCTATCGGCCAGGGGCAGAGCGCGAATCGCCTCCACCGCCCGCCCCGCCTCCTCACCGTAGCCTCATAACTAGAGGAAATTCAAATGCGTCTTATGATGCCCGATCCCGTCCGCGGGGATACAATACGCCCCGCGCAGTCTCGCCAGTACCGCCTTCTCCAGCAGGTGCCGGTTTTACCCCTTCACCCCTTCGTGAGGCGATGGATGGCGTAATTGAACAGCTAGACGCATTAGGTATGCCACGGCGGAGTGGCTCTCCAGAGCCTGCTTTTGACCCATGGTCTCCAGAGTCCTTTGACTTGGTTCATCGACGATCCCGTAAGAAGCAGGCAAGGCCTCAGACTTCCATGGCACTTACTCACCAAGATTCCGGTTATGAATCGTATGGCGGTGGTGGTGAGTCGTCACAGGAGAGCACTATTCACAGTGGTTACAAAGAGGAGCACCCGCTTCCTCAGCTCGATGATTATGTAGAAAGGATGGAGTCTCGGCTTCGAAGGATGCACCAGCATACATCGAGTATGGTGTCCGTCGGTCCTGGTGTAGAACCTGCGCCGCCCCCACCACTCAAAAGTCATCATATAACACGGCCGAAGTCCTCAATGGGCGATCATCCCCGTAAAGAACGCAGTCTACGCAAGCAGAAGTCGTCTTACGAAGTAGGACTTATAGGCAGAACCGCGACTACAAAGACCAACTCCACCAATTCTTCTTCGGGAAATCAAAGTAGCACGACAACAACCAGCACCAACACCCAAAGCACTAACCACACCCTAATGAGTGGCACTTCTGCTGGTGGAATAAGCTCAACTAGTGCAGGCAGTTTAGCAAGAAAGAATCGGGTACGAAGTGCCCTAGATTTCAGGGATGGTGATGAAGATTGGGATCCGAATCGGCCTACAACGCCGTTTACTGGTGTTTCTTACCATCCAAGCCACTCGACATCTGCCATGAGACCCAAATCGCAAGCCGGCTTTAATGAGGTAGGCATTGCTGATGTTGGGGGTCTTGTACATCCAGCGGAGGTAAAACCTAAGAAGGCGAATTTCATCAAAAGAATATTAGATGCGACAAAAACCGGTGTTGCATCCGGCCGAAGCAGTATAGCAACTGGTTCTGCATCGTTGCACTCATCTCCGACCAAACGCTCGAAGCCTGACGGCATTACAGCTATTGCAGGTGGCCTCAGTACGACAAACTTGAGTCGAGATGCCGCTCGTGATATGGGACTTGACAGTGGAATAGACTGGGTCCAAATCCGACGTGATGTGAACCGGTCTAACACTTTAAGCAAGAATGAACGCAACGAGCGACGAGATCGTTGCCAGATGATGGACTATCCCGCAATTGATCCTGTCGATGAACTTTATGAGAGTATTGAGGGAGATGAGGGCGCGGATGGGCATCCGGTTCGGGAACCGATCAACTACCAAGGTCTGAATCTTAGCCAAGTTGACAAAAATTCGAGATTTGTCAGCAATTTACCGCCAATGACAACCTCGGTAACACTCGCAACCACTTATGTCTGTCGCCCATATAGAAGCGATGTGCAGCGGCTCCGCGCCATTTTCGTCTGGGTTGCTGAACAAGTCAATTGGGAGGAAGATTTCGAAGGCGAAGTTGACACACGACGGGTCATACAGACTAGGCGAGCATGCGCCGAGGAGTACGCAGTCCTGGTTCATGAGATGTGTGCTGCTATTGGCATTCACTCTGAAATTGTTCGGGGCTACCTGAAGACTCCTGGCGAAGTGCCCGAAACTAGTATTATGCCTCGGCCGAATCATTGGTGGAATGCCGTACTTGTTGATGATGAATGGCGTATGATAGATTGTTGTCTGGCGAGTCCTTCTAACCCTCGGCGTGGCCTTTATTCGAACGCTGGCAGCGGAACCGCTGAGTTTTGGTGGTTCCTGACTAGGCCTACGGAGCTTTGCTGGACGCATATTCCAGAACATCATGCGCAGCAGCACATCTGCCCTCCTGTGGCCCACGAAACCCTCCTTAACTTGCCAGGCGCTTGTCCGCCGTATTTCAAAAACACCATAGCCATGGTTGACTTCAATACATCCCTCACCAGAATCGAGGACTTGGAAATGCTGCACATAAAATTCAACGTGCCGGATGATGTAGAGGTAGCCGCAGAAGTTGAAGTTCGAGCTTATTCGCGCGACTCGGACGGAGACTGCTTTGAGAGTGGTGATGTGGTTAAAAAGCGGGCTTTGGCCCAGGCAGAATGGTACAACGGTATGAAACGCTACACGGTCAAAGCGCTCCTGCCAGGAGACGAGGGCACAGGCATCTTGAAAGTCTATGCTGGCAAAAGGGGTCTCATGCATAGCATCAAGGATATACCTCATCCTCTCGCCTTCGCGCTCCCCATTATCCACACTGGTGAGAATCCGCCTTATGAGTTCGTGACACGTCATCCGACACCCCATGCCCAGCGTCACGACATATACGTTGTGCAGCCGCAATGCCAACGTCTCGCTTTGAACAACACATTCGTCTTTGCCATCCGGCAACACCCTTCCAGTTTGGGCAACGGTGCCTCAAGTAACCCGGGTGGTACGAGCCCAGTTCCCTTCGCGCGACCAACTAGTGCTATGAGCATGACCAGCAGCGCCGCGGCATCGGCCCCCAGCTCAGCGACCGGAAGCATAGCGGGCAGGAAGCCAGCTAAGTTAGCCATCCAAACCCCAGGTGGCAAGATCCTGAGGCTTATGAGGAAAGAGGAGCGAAGGGGCATCGGCGTCGGCGGACGAAGTTTCAGCGCCGAAGATGAGGCTAGTGATGGAGGTACCTGGGAGACGATTATCAAATGCTCAGAGCGAGGCGTTTGGCGCGGCCTCGTCCTGGCGGATCGGACCGCGCGGTGGTGCGTTTTCGCTGAGTGGACGTGCGTGGGCTAGCCGAGCCGAGCCGAGCTGAGGTACAGCTCATTTTTGCATTCACATGCGATGTCGAATATTGTATCATGATGGTCATCCACAACGATTTGATATGGAAGTGCGATTCTGTGATCGCGCGCGTTCTGCTCGGCGTTCTTGTACGACGAATTGGGATTCTCGGATTTATATACAAATGGCGTTTTGTAAAATCGGACAAGTGCAGACTGTAGTGGGCTGATCTATATCAGCACCCCAGGCGGAGTCGTGCTTGCATTACAAGTTTCACCTGAATTGAATGTATACTTAATAGCAGTGCTACGGCGCGATAGCCATAAATGAGAACCCTTACCATTAATCATACCCCGGTCAATATTGCGTGGTCTTACCGATCGGTCGTCCCTTACTGGGGATTTGGAGAGTCGAGATTCGAGACTAGATCTTACCTATGAATTATGATATAATTAGGAAAATGAACTCGGACCTCTTTCCTCCAAAATGAAATAAAACAAAATAGTAGGTACGCGCGTAAGCTAACTAGGCGTTGGCAGGCTTGCTTATCATCTTCATCAAACACCCACCTAATCTTCGAGACGGATTACCGTAGAGCTCTCTAGAGTTGGCAATTTTTTTCCCTAGCTGTGTTCGAGGTTTGGGCATTATGAGGAGGCTTCATGTGTCTGCGTTACCATCATGCTTTCTGTACAATGATGAAGCCAATTCAAGACTACCTATATGTGTAGGTTTACTCCTGGCCTGCCAGCTGTATTTCGGCACTTGCCTTGAGGTAAGTGGTCTTTCCTTCGTTAAACTGAACCGAGGACATCTAACTACAATGGACTTGCCATGAACTCAATTAAAAAAAAAAAAAAGGGCTTGACTCAAGATCTTCTTTTTGCAAATTCATGTGCTCCACACGTCTCCTTGTGTTCGTCAACCTATCTTCTTATCAAAATATCTACTCACCTACTTCCCGCACTCCTTATCCCTAGCCCCTATGAAAGATTCATCAAGATTGTTCTTAGCTTCAATTGAAACTGTTATAATATTGCCATGGTTTACATCTCAACGACATTGATCAACGTATTATCGGACCGAGCAAGTCGAGTTGTAGACAATGTCCCACCGTGGAGCCCTCAGAGGTTCGGCCAACCCGGATCGAATCGAGGCTCCCGTCACCCTGAAATCATACCTCATGTGCGCCTTCTCGGCATTTGGGGGGATATTCTTTGGCTACGATAGCGGCTACATCAACGGAGTCATGGGGATGCCGTACTTCATCAGGCAGATTGAGGGTCCGGATGCGACGAGGTTAGTTCTTTGGAGTCATTTATTTCCCTTTTAGGCAGGTTTTGGGCCATATTGCTCCTACATACTGCCGAAACATGAGCTGAATCCCTTCTTTATCTAGCAACTTACTAACTCCAACGTGTTCCATAGCTTGAGCGGGTTCTCTAAGGCAATCATCACATCTGTTCTATCACTTGGTACATTTGTTGGTGGGTATCCCCCTTTACCCTCCTTCGAATCTCGTGATGAGCTGCGGCATGCTGATACTACTACTCTTGACGGAAGGGGCGCTCGTTGCTAGTGATTTTGCCGATCTATGCGGCCGGCGAGCCACCGTCCTCGGAAGCTGCGCAGTGTTCCTTATAGGTGTCGTTCTCCAGGTGGCTTCAGCAGGGTTGCCTCTTCTTGTCATCGGCCGTGCGATTGCTGGGCTAGGTGTCGGAGGGGTCAGCGCGATACTCATTCTATACATGTCCGAGATCGCGCCTCGCAAAGTCCGTGGAGCTATTGTGTCGGGCTATCAATTTTGTATTACTATTGGTAAGCTTACCTGTTCTTGCCCATCCCTACTTCCGTTTTTCCTCATGAAGTAATTATTGTCTTAACCGTGTTGCAAAGGTCTATTGCTCGCTTCCGCGATCGACTATGCAACTCAGAACCGTGCCGATACCAGCTCGTATCGGATCCCGATTGCTATTCAGATGGTATGGGCCTTGGTTCTTGCCGGCGGCTTGTCTTTCCTTCCAGAGTCGCCACGGTTCTACGTCCGCAAAGGAGATCTCGACCGTGCCGCCGATTCTTTATCTCGACTACGCGGCCAACCTGTCACGAGCGAATTCGTGAAGACCGAACTTTCTGAGATTATTGCTAATTATGAGCACGAGAATTCTCTCGTACCTCCTGGCGGTTATTGGAGTACATGGCTCGCGTGCGGCCGGGGTTCTTTAAGAAAAGGGTCCAGCCACCTGCGGCGTACTGTCCTTGGGACTTCTCTTCAGATGATGCAGCAATGGTTTGCGCGCTCCCAGAACATCCTGTATTTAGAGGAGTATGCTGATTGGTAAACGTCTAGGACTGGAGTCAATTTTGTCTTCTATTTCGGAACTACCTTGGTATGTACAATAACAGTGGCCTGCTTCTACACGTTGTCCTGGAGAGAGAAGTTAGTTGACTTTTCATAGTAGGTCTTGACACTACTACCTCTCTTGAGATTTTTTTTTTCTCCCGGTAGGAGCAATGCGAGGTCGACATCAAAAGATGCGCACCGGTCATGATAATTGAGCGTGATGATGGAAAGGTAGGCGTTGATGAGTGCAAGCTCAAGCTAATTAGGAAGCAGTTTCCAGGACCTAGGAACTATTCAAGATCCATTCCAGATCTCCCTCATCACGACTCTCGTCAACGTATTCTCGACACCAATCTCCTTCTGGGCAATTGAAAAGCTTGGGCGCAGACCACTGTTTCTCTGGGGAGCACTCGGCATGACAATCTGTCAGTTCATTGTTGCAATTATAGGCACAATCGCGCACTCTACCGCGGCGCTCTCAGTCATGATTACCTTCATATGTGTCTTCATCGTCTTCTTTGCAATCACATGGGGACCTGGCGCATGGGTTCTCGTTGGCGAAATCTTCCCACTTCCGATCAGAGCTCGAGGAGTTGCGTTATCAACTGCAAGTAATTGTCAGTAATGCTCACCCACTTCAAGTGTCTTCTAAGACCACTTGAGCTTATGGTTACTCGATCCTCGCAGCACCTCCCTGACTAACTCGACATTTCTAGGGCTTTGGAACTTTATTATTGGCCTGATTACGCCGTATATGGTAGACAAGGATAAAGGCAACCTTGGTGCCAAAGTCTTCTACATCTGGGGCAGTCTATGCGCTACCGCGTTCTTTTTCACATGGTTTCTTATCCCTGAGACTAAGGGCCTTACACTTGAGCAAGTTAACAGGATGCTCGAGGAAACGACGCCTCGTACGTCAGCTAAATGGAAACCTCATGATACATACACTGCAGAGACGAGCGGTAAAGACACTCCAGCTCCAAACGCATTCAACAGAAGTGTAGATGATGATGCAGACGAGTATGCTGAAAAATCTCGCGAATCCCCTTCCTTGCGTGTCTTATAGAAGGTTCTGTGCGGGCTCCAAAATGATCCCCTAGTCTAACTATCCTTGAAAGAAAGAAAATAGTATCTCGATACCAGACAATAGATGGAGGAGTGAAGGGATGGTATACTGATGGTAACGATGGCCAAGGTTATACAGGTAATACTTGATTAATGCGCCAAAAAGACCACTTGCATAAAAATGAACGTCTCTGTCGCGCAAACATAAAATGATTCCCTTGTATTCTTTCAGGGGTATCTCTATGTTAAGTCTCTTCTAACGTGTAGGTTAAGCTTTTGGAGACGGTATGATTCCACCCCTGAGAGAAAAGCAGCGAGGTATATGAAAATACATACTATCGATAATTTCCATTGAGTATAGATACTTTATCCTTTGCCTGGTGCCCGCTTCATTACCGACCGGAAGATCTTAGTAGTAGCACACCGTAGTAGGAATCACCGGAGTAGAATGGCTCCTTACTAGGAGAGAAGAATAGCTCTAGATAGTTACATGCTCCTAGCGTGGAACTTACGCGTGAATCAATGTGAATTCAATACAAGATAGACTGACATTATCTGAAGAGTAGAAGTCAAATGAGGCCGCCTACGAGCTATCCAAGGCGCCTCACCTCACCCTTCCGTAACGGAAGGGAATCACCCCCCTTATGGGCTAACATAACCACACCCAATTTATCTGGCCGCTTATAAGGCCTGAAACTACATGTCTCGAATCAGTGTTCAATCCGGATAAGTGAATGACATGTTTGCACCCAAGGCGCGTCCTCGCGACCTTCGAAAATCCGGAGACACGTGGACCGAGGCGCCCCCGTGTTCACACGACTTCAGGTACCTCGTCATATAGTTCTGTATACACACCATCGGCAAAACAGGGTGTCAGAGGTTGATAAAGAGAGAACGGAGCGTTTCCAAGTTTATTCCCCTACCTTCCTCTCCCGTCTGGGTCATCTCGTGACCCATCATTATAGCTGATAGGAATGTAATAGTTGCGTAAGTGGTAGGAATACTATTCGTACGACCCCGTTATCGTGTCATACACGGGAAAATGTTGGTTTGAAAATGCCATAGCCGTGGAACCGTTTTGTTGAATGTATCTTTTGGACAGGCGTGATAAACAGCAGGGCAGTCATAGCATTGCGTTCGTGTTCAGCCGGCGGCTTTAGTCCGCACCCAGACAGACCGTAAAATACCATAGTATCTCATAAGAAGAGGTAGGAAGAAGCTGTTTGAGTCAGGTAGAGTGACTAAGAGAGCCTACCTAATACGAGGTACTAGGCGACGGAACGTTTCAATCAGCTGGCAGGTTGTTTGGATTTTCGATCATCACTACTCCTGGATCGTTGGAGCCTTGCGTTATTTATGCGGGATGCAATGGCCCGCACAGCTCTTAAGATGGCTTCATTATCGTTTGCACTGTATCGCAGAAACACAGATATCCTATGATGTGGGGAAATCTGAGCGTTCTCTAGACGAAGGGGAAAAAATGGCTATATCCGAATATGACACCGAAAGATCATTTACTGGGGGAAAACAGGTTGGATGCTGTGGATCTTCTAACCCCCGCATTTCTGCTGTGCTGCTCACCTTTCAGTCGCTGAGCACGCCAGGAACATGGACAGGAACAGGCAAGCCATCTGAGCCTTGCAGGGTAATGGATGAACCGTGTGTGTGTGGCGTTATTGAGCTTTCTTTCCTCTGTGTAATGCTTGGAATTTGGATAGCGCGTAACATCGGTGTTCCAAGTGTTCAAAACGGAGCCACTCAAACACGTATGGAAATATTCTAGAAAAGCGCTTTCAAATAGTCAGATGGTGAAGTTAACCGTTCGTAGACTAATTGCATTCCGAGTCAGCGTCATTCTCGAGTAGGCGCTACTCCACCGTCGTAACACCAGCGGGAGGCCATTTTCCAAGTGCTATTTTGTTAGCACTAGTCTGTGGAATCGGCGATCGTGAGAGAATAGACAACAGTCAACGCAACATCTGGCCTGCGGTATCCTTGGTTGTTGTATTGCGCTTAGGGTGTGGTCATTAGAGAACACCAAAGACCTCAACAAGGCTTGCATTATGCTACGCCAAGATCACTGGAAGGCATCGGTGTATCAAGGCACGCATCGGCCCGATACTTTCTACGTAGAGGTAGACGAAGACGCCTCGCATCTGCCGATTTGCAGGCAAACTACTTAGTAAGGTCTTCTTTCCGAAAAAGCTTGTTGTTTGTTGGCATACAAGATCCGGGGACCCTTGCTGTGAAGATAGCTATTGGAAGATGGAAACAATTATACTATTAATCACATTGTGTCGTCCCCAAGATAGAGCGTGCGGACAGCTCACTGAGGCATTAAAACAAACCATGACATATATGGGCATCTTGAGGTCACTAGGTAGGAAACGGAATGCAAAACAGATCTCGATGTGACGGCCCAGAGAAGTTCCAAATCATTATTTTTAGGAAGCTCATGCGAGAATGGCGTTCTCCTAGCGGTTACGACTATCCGTACTGAGATGTCGTCGAGGCTGATCACATATGCCAGCTAGAAAATATATACAGACCTAGGAGGTACAGAGTATATTTACATGTAGGCTGATACGATGTCTTTGGGCGTTGATCGAAAGTTAAAATGACATATAATCTCAAGATGCCGTGCCTATCTTGATGTAATGTGGGTATGCGCATCGGGGCGCTCCGCTACTAGAAAGTGGCTGGCGTTGGTGCCCCTTACTACTTAATACCTTGCTAAGTACGTGAAACGAAGTACCTGCGGAATGGCTAGATTCACGGCTTCGCTGCCAGGTCAATTCGCAAGGCTCTCCGCTAGGCTGTATTTTCCTAGTATTTTCCTAGAGTGGGGATGGCCCGTTGAAGATTTTGCTTGCGCTAGTTCTGTTGTCGGAAGTTGTCTTCCAAAGTTAACCGGCATAAACTGGCCCAAGGCATTGCGAGTAGTCACTGAGTCTGAAGGTGGGTGTCTTAGCAAATCCTGATCTCTGTTCTGATGTACTCGTATCTCGTAGGGTGGTATTGTGGCTGGCGACGATCCCGCTTAACCGTTGGGCCCCGGTAATTTCTCGCATAACATGCCTGCCACTGCAACTTGCCTGGAGAACCCAGGCCATTGAAAACCCGATCGGCCACGATCAAGGCCTGTCAGCTTGGAGGGGCTAGCCCCTGCTTGGGAGGCTGCAGCTTCTGCGACAAGCCCATGTGCACGACACGTAGTACTCCACCTACCTAGTGTAGTAGGCCATTGCAAAGAGGATGGAAAATGTGCGACAAACACGCTGACGCGTAGATTCGTGACAATGAGTACACGGCAATACATGGCTGTAGCAGCTCGGGGGGGCGCTCATAAAGCACAGGGTGTTCGGTCCATAGTAGTGGCAGCTTTGGAGGAAGAGCAAGAGCTGCATTGGGGTGTGAAGATGTGAAGAATCCACCCGAACGAGGAGAACTCAAGGGCACCAGGTAGTCGAGGTAGTCTTCGCCGTGTTCTTGTAGGTGAGCCGAGCTGAGTGATCTGGAAGCCGCTTTGTGCGGCAGCGTGGTGGTGGTGAGGCTGTTTTCATTAGGGGAGAAGAGCGGCGAAACAACCCATGCACACCCTCTCGGTGGTGGCGCACGCTACCTACCCATACCTCCTCATGATGCATACCCTGCTTCCTCTGATCGAGTAGGTATTTGGGACGCGTACATACGATACTCTCAGTGGCAGGAAAATCGATCTGACAACCGGCTTACAGTACACTGCTACGCAAGGAGGGCTACCTAGTACTGTGCGTCCGGCGTCTGAGAACAGAACAACACGAATCTTTTCGTTGTTGTATCCACCTCTGCTCGCCTCGACACTCACAGGTGTCTTGGGGCTTGGGGGGGGACTACCGGTATTGAGTACAGTCGCACAGTTGAGACCATGGGATGGCCCCATAGCGTGTATCTACTGGGGATGGGCGAACTGTGATTCTTGAGGTCCCAAGGTCGATGATGATGACAGTGACGAAGACACAAGGAATCAATCCCCCAGGATGATGGGCGTGATTCGGGGATTGACGATCGAATGTTATCGGTCGGCGTCCTGGGGGGAGGGAGAGGGGGGGGGGGGGCGTCGGCGCAAGTCTTGAAGCAACGAGCGAGGCCGGGAATGGGCTTATCGAGATGGCTTCTGGAATGGCTGATACAGAGGAATGCGTCTTGTGGTTACTGTTCTGGCGCTGCACCTGATATTGGAGGGGGCATTATTCCCACACGCTGGTACGCCAAGCCCAGGATTCTAGCGTGGAAAACGTACACTGCCTATCTAGGTTAGTATAGCCGCACAAGGCGAGACAGCGAATGCCGCGGCCCACATTGTGCTCCAGTCAAGTGTGCCTACGGTACATCGGTACATATCGACCTACAGGAAGGCTAGGTACATATAAGGTAGAAGTACACCTAGCACCGAGCTCCATGTAGGTAGCTACAGCTATCCAGGTACTTCCAAGCTACATGGGGCACAGCCTACAGCTGATTCCCTATCTCCCTAAGTAGGCATGTAGCAGTACATGTAGTAGGTAGACAGGTATGTATATCTATGGAGGTAGCGAGTACATAGAGATACCCTACTCCTAGTGTGAGCCCATATATAAAGTACAGGTATCTACCGGTACTAGCAACGGTAGGTATGCTCTTACGGTACCTTTAGTAACCCCTGCACCACAGAGCAGAGTGCACTTTGGCTATGATTCACAGTACTTGAGGATGATTCATTGATGTTTGAGTGGATAGTACAGCTCTGAATACCGACATTTGTAGTTCGGAATCACGGTTGTCACCCTCAGATCCTACTTTGCTACGAAAGATACCTCTTAAGTGTTGCTATCTGTGCTGCTATTGGCAGCATTTGACGCCGTTATTGTGGGATCTGCGCTTGGCACAATGTATATGAGAGGTATAAGCGACCCGACACGCGCAGCCCAATCATCACCGAGAAGAAGGAGACGAAGAAGAAATGGGGAAGGGAAAAAGAAACAAGAGAAATCGTCTGTGCCCCCCCCTCCCCCCG